ATTGAATATCATGGAAAGGTGCATATTTGTAGATCAATAACTGTCAAGTTACTACTTGTTAGTCAAGGGTTGGATCAAAGTTGATGGTACAGATAAAGATATTGCAAAGTGAATGGTAAATGTGATAAAAGTGTAACATTCAAGTTATCAGGAGTTGAAGCCTTTTTTGGGTCCAACCTTTCAATTTTGTGAACCTTTTTTCAAGCTTCCAGGTTACAGTTTGAAGACTGAAACTTTTTCACATTTCGTGGGTTAACCTTTTGCTTTAAAAGATGCAGTCAAGTTTTACTTGAAAGCCAACTCTTTCCTACTTTTCCGTGAAAAGTTCATATTCATAAGTCAACCAATCATCTCTCAGGTTATTCTTCAAGTTGCATCACATTTATGCCATGAATGATCTCACGAGTGTGGAGTGAAAAGACAGGGAATCGCATAAAGAAACCAGAATAGACAGTTGGTATTATCGAGTAATCAGAAGAATTTTCTCGTCTAAATGATCTTCTCTTATATTTTACTGATAAAAGTCACAAGGCTATTGAGCTGAGTAGCCTGTTGAATGCGAGCAGCTCAGGCTTGTAACTTAGTTGAGGGCAACCAGAAGAGTCATTGGCTTGGGTATCGAGATGAAACCAATTAGTTGTACAAGTTTGTCTCGACGACTTATGAAAGTTAATCAGTTGATAAAGTTTCAGTGGAATTGTTAATCTCTTCACTTTTATCATGTTTGCGCTTGAAAATGTTTTTCATTTGAAACTCGATTTTACTGCTCAATTCTTGACAATGAATTTCGAGGAAACTTGGGAAAGTTTATCGTACAATACTGCGACATGTTTTTGACAGTTGAAGTTGGATTAAGATTTGAAAATTTGATTTAATGAATTTCTTTTCACAAAATAAATGACATTTTTCACTCCAACATTTTCATAACTTTTCCTTTCTGTTCAGTCACTTTATTAGCATTTCAATGAACATGTTTTACTCTGTGCTGCCTTTCAACCACTCAAAACCCAAACTTGAATCAATGCCTTTGCCTTTTCATTAAAACATTGAAAATTGAAATCGATAATTAAGTTTAAGTTGACTTGAAAAAAAGAATAAGATTAAACCCTGAAAAAGGGAAGTAAAAGTATAAGTAAAATTAGATTAAATTAAATTAAATTAAGAAAGTGAATAACAAAAGGTTATGTTAATGTTGTTAATACACTTGAGAGTAAATAAACTATCTTTATGCAATCAAATGTGCAGACTAAGTGCTCGAAAAGTTGAGATAAGCTCAAGATGAACAAGTGATTTGCATGAAGCAAGAAACGGATTGAAACTGTTGATAAGAGTTGAACAAGGTAAAATCACAATTACCTTTCCTCATTCACCTAACGATTTTAATCCTTGAAACTCTTGAATCTCATTGATAACAATCAGACTAAACCTTTCGAAATCTTCATCGAATGCAAAAATTGAAATTCAGACTCGAGACATTCTGAATAAAACTTGGAATTTCAGAAGAGAAAAAAAATCGTTCAAAAAGTTTGATAAAAGGCTGAGCGTGAAAAATGTTGACCAGATTCTCGATGCCTGAGGTTGCCTTTTGCACGGAAAAATATAACCTTGTTTTGAATGTTTAATGCATAATGGAAATTGAAATTGAACAGGGAATTTCTCACTCCCAGTTAAACTGTTTCTTTTGCTTTACTTTTTGCAGAATGTTACAGAATTTAAGAGATTTCTTTTTTTCGTTCACCTTTGCTCATTCTTTTTAGCTTTAGCTTTATCCCTTTTCATATAAGGTTATTTGTGCCTAAAGGGCATCAAAAATAATAATTTGAGTGAATGATAGAGAAGAAAAGAAGAAGAATAAAAGTGAAAAGATGAAAGTATTAAAGCTTATTCTTTTCAATTGACATGTTAACTTGTGAGTCTCATGAATAATTTTACATTTTCTCTCTTTAATCTTGATCGTTGATCGAACAAAAAACCTCAGGCTTTAGCCGTGCCTTTGTAACCTTTACACTGATATAAAAGTGAGAAATAACTCATTTTTCACTTTAACGGATAACAAGTTCCAAGTAATAGTTTTCATCTTTTCAAAACCTTTTTCTCGTCCATTCATTTTCAGATGGAAAAACATTGATTGAAAAGTTTAAACCAAATTGATTGCGTTTTTCAATATTGCAATTGAATCACTTTCTCATGTCAACTTGGACAATTATTTTCAACAAAAAATATTGAACAATTTTTCAGGGGAAAAAAGAATTTCAAGAATTGGAGAAACACGCTAACTCTAAGCATTCAGAATCTTCATTATCAGAATATCTCAAGTTGTAATTCGAAAGTTTCACAATCTTTCCAATCTTTTCTTCTCTGTTCAATCCAATCAGTTTATTGCATGTCAAGTCAATTGATTTTGCTAAATTGTTTAAAAGCTCCTTTAGTTTCGAGTAATTTTCATGTTCATCAGTTTTCCTTCAAAATCATTTTCCAAAGGAAATTTCAACACTTTCGTTATCGAACATTTAATGAACGAAAAATTTCGAAATTCAAACGATTCAACATCGACTTTGTCTCTCAGTTCAACTAAAAATTTCTCAATAAAACACTGAATAACAAATTCCATTTCTTGTTTACACTTTACTTCAGTACTTCATCCGTAAATGAACCAACGATTTTCGAAACTTTGGTTCGATTGGAATTTTTGCTTTCAAAAGTTCAAAAGTTTTCTTTTTCAAGTTCTAAATGAAAAATTCCAAACAAATTTTCATGAATATTCGAACGAAAATTTTCTTCAAACAATTCGTCATTATTTTTGCTTTTCCAATTCGAGTTGATTCTCTTTGAGAAATTGAGAAATCTCTTTGCTTTGATTCGATTTTAAAAGGGAAATTAACTTCGAATTGAAGGAAAATTCGTTGAAAATTCATCATTTATCACTTGAAAATTAGCTTAATTTCGTTGGAAGAAAAGATGGAAACTTTGGTACTTTGGTTTTCACGACAGGAAACTTGTTCCCATGAGCTTTAATTGATCTTCTCAAAATTCAGTTCAACAGTAGCATTGATTGAACCAATTTACTTCAACCTTCAACCGATAAACAAATGTGTAGGTAAAACGTTGATTTTGACGAAAAAAAAACAAGAAAACAGTGAAACAATGGAATGAATAAATTAACTAATTAAATAGCAACTCATCATGATGAATATTTTTCATGAAATCAAACATGAATAGAAACAGTGAACAGTAAAAGTTTAAACCTTTCAATGAACTTGTCGTCAAATGAATGCACGACAATAACAACCTTTTTTTTTAATATAATAGTTTAGTTGATAATAATTACTAATTGAAGTGAAAAACACTCTAAAACTGGATCAAATTAACAGGGAAAAAATGATTTGACAAACCAATTAGTTTAATTAGCTGCAAATAATATTACCAACTGAGTCGACTGGGAGTGAAAAAGTATCTTAAAATGGTTATTAAAGGGCAATATTGATAACAGTTCTGACAACTTTCACTTTTGCTAAATATTAATAACTTGAACACAGTCAATTAGGTTACTTCATTGACCATGACTTGAAATTGATTTTACTTTTTAATTGGAAATTCAGTTGAACATGGAATCAAAGTTAATTTATTTTTTAACATTCTTTGCCATTAATATTCACTTCTTTTTGTTTTGAGTTTTTTTCGCTGAACATGAAAATGAACTCTGCTGATGTTGAAGATAATCTGAAGATTTGATTCGCTTTTTAATCTCAGCAAACTAAAAGAACTTTTTCTTTTTTTCTCTTCTAATCCAATTTGATATGAACCCGAGGCTAAATCATACCTTTACATGAACATCAGTGAAGCATAAATAATAACAAAATAGGATGAAAAGGATCACATTAAGAGTGAAATTGCTGATGAGGATGAAGATGGGAAAAGATGGAAAAGTTGGAAAAAAGTTGAACAAAAAATGGCACTTTCAAGATGAATTGAGGGAAAAATTGAAATTCAATAAACCGATTAAAAACTGATTTTTTTTCTTAACATTGGATAAAAGGTTCACAAGTTTCAAGATAATCAAGTTTTCTCATGAAATTTCAATATTCTCAAATTAAGAATATTGATTTAATCATTTCGAGACAATTTGGGTTTACATTGTTTGTGTTTTAATAGTTGAAGAGTCGATCAGCAATTTTAGCAATTTAAATCACTTGGAAAATGGGATTTGCTTTAGTTGAGCATTTCTTGACCTTTCTTTGAGGCTCTTTAATTCGATGGTCGAAGATTGTCTTTTATTGGTTCGAAGGTTGGTGCAAGTTTTTTAGGAAAATTTTGGGTTCTCTTCAAATTGAATAGACTTTTTTTGCTGTCTGCTCAATTTTTAAATTGTACATTTGTGAATTGTATCAAAATGCTATCATTTCAGTGAATATCTTTTTGTTGGTTTTTCTTCAACAGCGAAAATAAGGTTCAAAGTTGGATGTTTGATGAGCAAAACGGATTCGTAACTTGACAGCATTCAAAGAAATGAACATTTGGAAATTGGCGATCTGAAAATATTGTCAAAAAATTCAGTTCTTGTGCTCATAATAAATGAGGTGTGAATGGGAATTCAACTGGAAAATGTTAGCTTAGATGCCATATTTTCAGAGTTGAACACTTGTGCATAAAATGAATTTTTAAACACACTTTCCTTGTCGAATCAAAAAAAATTGCAAAATGAAGCGTTTAAAGACGATTTAAAACATTTCAATTGTTAGGGATAAGATTTTGTTCAGTGATCATTATTAACTGTTAAGTGGTGATGGTTCAGCATATACCATGAATCTTAAACTTTAAATGAACTGAGTTAAAGAAGAAATCTCTTCATGGAAATAGCTGAGAAGCAAACTGTTCATAATCAATAAGCAAGGATCACTTTATTAATTTACAAAATGTGTCACAAATAAATTAAAGATTTAATAATCGCGCTTCAAGAGTGGCTCTCATAGCAACCGATTTACTCTTTGTTTCCTTTAATCAACACTTTCCTTGGTTATTCAGCAATTTTAAAATTTTAATTGTCTACGAAAATTGGTTAAGATCACTTCTAATATTGTTAATATTTAGAAATCGAATCGATCTTCTTCTCATTTCTGCTTGGTTCTCGTGAAAAACAGTCAACTGTGCTTCTAGAAAATATCTTTACTCCAGTGTAAAGTCGGTTCACTTGTAACCAGCAATATTACCGTTTTCAAACTAAGGCCTTAAATGCTGGTCATAATGATTTTAAAATCAACTGTAATTTTGAAATTCGGAGAGTCCAACACTCAGGTAAAGTGATTTTTTAGTATTCTGTTAGCTTCAGTAGTCATTTCTGAATTTTTCTTGACTATTTTGTCCTTTTGTCCTTCATTTATGGATATTTACCTATTTGTTGTCATTAAATTTTTGATCGATTCTTGAATCAATGATTTATACAGTTTAATGAGCATTTTTTCAATTCTCTTGTTCAAAACAATTCAATTTTCATTAAGCTGCCTTTTTCGATTCTATATGAAAAGGTCAAAATGAATTGCTTTCAATTGTAACATTAGACCAAAATGTAATTGGGCAAAAAGAAAACCTGCCGTTCTAATTGAGTTACAACTATTAACCAACAATGAAATCATTTTGTATTACCTTTTTTTATCCAACAAATAATTGAACAGTTGAAAAGATTCAAGAGTTCGACATTGAAACATTGTCAACAAAAGATGGTAAAGTTTGATACCAAATTTCAGTTTTCTCGTTACTTTCACATTGAAAAAATGCTACTAATAATATGTATTGTCATGTTAATCTGACTGGTAATCAAATGCTTTAAATCTTCAATTCTTTACCTTTTCATTTTACTTTATTTTTTCCTTCATTTCTTTACCGACTTTTGTCTATCCTTTCAGATTTAAGGTTCAGGATAGTTCATTTTGTTTCCACTCTTTTCACCCTCAACATCATGAAAGTTTAACAAGAAAAAAAACACTTAATATTATTTCAAGTTTATCAATGTTTAACAGGGAATCCTTTTGGGAGGCTCAAGTTTAACAAAACTGGGAAACAGTTCAACTCTCTTCATCCCAGCCTTCATATCATTAGATGTTAATCAAGTTTATGAAAACATGTCAATCAAAGAAGCAAGAAAATGAAAAGTGAAAAAAGATAATGATCAAAACATGATGATTAAACATGATAATGTTATGAATTTCAGTATCAACAGCAAAGAGAAAGAGAGAAGAAAAAGTCATTTTTCTATTAACATTTTCACCATTTAATATTTACCTTTTCATATTTACTGTTCAACTCTTTTTCATCTCAATTAACCTTTAATTTATTTGTAACCTGATTAAATGAATACAGTTTGATTAGTTAATCCATTTCTTGCAGCATTTCCAAAGTTCACCCAAATTCATCAAATGAAGATTCAGTAATTGGCTTTTTTCACCATTTTTCATGCTAATTGCGACTTCTAATTAACAATACAAATAGACTTTGATGTGGATCAATATTTAAATTATGATTTACTGTTTACTTTGAGCTTATTTTCATTATTTGGTAACATTTTTTGTTTCATTGATTTTACCATCATTCAATGTTGTGCTTAAACTCGCAAAAAATGACCCAAAATTGAAATGCTTTGTTTATCATCTTTCGTCGTTCTTTTTGTTCAACAGCTCGTTTACATTGTTTATCATGTAACATTTTTTAAGTTCAATATGCTGAGCTAATCACCATGATTTTGACTCAATAACGAGGATAGACAAACAGACAATTAGTGTAACAAGTCAACTGAGAATAATCAATAACATCAATGTTTATAGACGGTTTTTGCACCGTTTTTTTTTTCCTGGCTCAACCTTTTCATTATTGGCAATATTTTTAAAGTTGATTCTTCAACAATCTTGTTATTTTATGTTGAAATAAGCAAAATTGTGACTCTTATTTGTTGAAATAATGTCTAAACTAAATTGTTTTATCAATTCAGATGTTTGTTTTCCTTGGATCCCATTTTACGTGAAATTTAAATGATTCTGGCTCAATGGTGTTTCTTTCAATGGAAATGGTTTGCTTCCTCCTCATTACTGGTTATCCTCAACTTTCATTGAATGGTCAGCCTCTGGTCAACATCTTGATCAAATCAATCTGTACACTTTGTTTTGTCTTCCCTCTTCTAATGATTTATCTGTAAAATCAGAACCAGTGAGATATTTTTTCCTTGTATCGCCATGAAAAAAAGCCAGCTTTGATAAGCCATTGGTTCAGTTTGCTTGGTTATTTTGATGATAAATAAGTCTCGATATTTAGGCTTAACTTCATTTTTCAAAATCCATCATCAGTTGAAATCATTATTGATCATAATCATATTTTTGTTGGAAAAGGAAAGGAAAACAAGCTTTCAATGGATTCCCAATAAGAACCAGACGAAACCAATGAAATTACAAGACATTAATTTGCAGTCTCAAGTGATGAATGATGAACGTATATAACCATGGAACCCAAATTAATCATCATCCTGTGAAAACAAATAGAGAACTCAATTAGTAAATCATACAAAGAATGATGTAAAATGATCAGTTGGGTTAAAATGAAACAAATTAGTGTTTCTATCATTGTCTGAATTTCTGGAAAGGTTAAAACTGGAAATCAAAAGATGAATATTTAGAAGGCAAATGAGGAAGAAAAAGTCAAATTAGATGAAAGTTACAATTAAGGTTTTAAATAGGCAATGTTTACTTGATTGCATTTGGTTTACCGATTGTTACCTCGTTTATTTATCCTTTAATTAGATGATTGATGATTTTAATGTTGTCCTCGGTGAGTTTTGATGGATCAATGAAGGAATCGACTCGTTTCCAATTTAACAAATGCATTGAGAGGGAAAATAAAGGTAACCCTTTTCTTGTGGTTCAATCTTAATTGCTTCATGGTGGACAATCGTGTGTATGTGGTAATGTAACATATGATTAGAGTAACTGTGAGGAAAGAGAAGAAGAAAATAATTCAGAGAAAACCTTGTTAACCTTCAATTTTTTTACGTCATGGTAAAAATGAACAAAGTCAAGACGGAAACAGATAATAGGACATAATAGATGCCTTGTTATTAGCAAGGCTGTCTTCAAAAAAATGTATGGATTGCAGGTTGATCACAGCAATCTCTGAACAAACTGATATTCCAATGGAATTGGCCTTTTTTTCAGTCTTTTTCATGTTACACATTTACCTTTTCATACTTTTAGATTTTACTTACTTTTAGTTTGATTCTTGAAAGGGACAATTTAATGATGATCAGATGATTGGTTTATAGACTGAAGTTTTCCTTGAAAGTTATCATTATTGCTTGTAATGTAGAGGTTGATGTTGAAAAATACAAAAGTAGAAAAGCAAAAGGATAATGTTGAAGATGATGATGATCAGTTGTACAGAGTTTCCAGTCTTGAAGAAACAAAAAAACAATGAAATTCATTATATTGAAAGATGTTGATTTTGATGGGGAAACATTAGGTTTATTGGCCATTACTGCTGTTGTTGACTTGTTAGAGATGATTGAAATGAGTTGATTTGATTTAATTAGAGAGTGTTGAAACTTTAAATTAGCTTTGTGTGGGTTGTATTGTAAAGGAGTGGAATCCAACATCGTGCTTTTACTTGATCAACTTGCATTGATGTAGCCAGAATCTAGAAGAAAATGTAAATGAAAAATGAAATGAAATTAATAATTTAGATGAGAATGAAGAGAGAAAGTGGAAAATTATGAGATGAAAAGTTGTAATAATGACGGAAAAAGATTCAAAGGATGGTAATAATGTAATAGTAAATGAAATAAATACTATTAACTGTTAATAACTGGTAGCTTAGGTTGAATTGTGAATGTGAATTTTGAATGAAACAGGTGAGCAGCAGAAGCAGCAGCAAAAAAACAATCAACAATGTTGAAGGAAACAATTTTTGCGCTTTGTTTTTCAATAACAATGTAGCTAAAAACGCTGTTAAGAAGGCAAAATTGAGTAAATGTTAGTTACTCTTTTGAAAAAATATGACCCAAGAGAGCTATTTAAACATTACATGTTCTTGTTTCATTCACTTTCCATCTTTTTGCATTTTGGACTCTTTTATCCTTACAATCCAACACACAACAAAAGAGTAACCCTTTTGCTTCAAGTCTTGATGTATATTAATATTGTTGATAACTGCAAGCTCAACTGAAGAATCAGCTTTTCCATTAGCGAATTATTAACTAATTAGACTATCATTAGTCTTAATTTGTTTCGACAATCTGGTTAAACGTGGATCCATTTGCTGCCATTTTAGTCTCTGTACATCTATATATGTGTGTGTGTGTATGTAGCTGCCTTTAATAATTTGTATATACCTTAAAGCTGTAGATCTTTTTTAATATTTAGTTACATTACCATTTAATCCTTGATGAACAAGTGAATGTGTCGAAATGATTAGTCAATAATAATCATAATAATAATACTTTCGCTCTTTGATCCAACCAAGTTAATCTCTGTGGTTATGTAGACGAAAATGGATTTCCAGATAGCAATCCAGATAAAAAAGTCTTAAGGCCAAAATGAATACATCACCCAAAACTCTGACAGCAAACAAGTAGGTTTTTTTTCGTGTAAAACTGTAAGGAATGAGAAAAAAGAAGAGAATATTAGTAATGGAATTACTGAATAATATATTTGCTAATAATAGCTTTCTCGTTTTCTTGCTTCAACACAAAAAGAAAGTCGTTTTAATGTGATCCTAATTGAAAAAAATTAGGATCAATTAAACAGTAACTATGATAAACATGCGATCGATAACGGCACCATCTTTGGAAAATAAAAACAAGCTTTTTGGAAAACATTTTTTCCCATCAAATTAAGTCTAAATTCAATGGTAAACAATTAACTAAAGGTGTAAAATTGAATTTATATTTTCCAATTTTAATGTCATTAATTGACGAAAAAATTGAAGACAAGATTATTAAAGAATCTGAATTGGAAGTAAATTGTAGATGTTTTAAAAGGCGCGCTCTTTTCGTTGACACTGGAAAATGAGAGGACAATTTAGATGGTTGACTGTTTTTAATGAAATGGTTATACCTTTTGGATATGATTAAGTAGATAATTTAAAAATATTACCTTTCAGGTTAATGAAGTACCTTCAACACTTGAATTTGTATTGGCCTTTGATGAACTTCCTCTAATGCTTCTTTTTATGTAAGTCTTTATATATACAGTTGACCATCCAAGTAATCAATCATCTTTTTTTATGCCTTTACTTGATAACTTTACCATTATAAAACCAATTTTGACAGGTTTGACAGGGTAACCCTGTTGATGAAAGGTAAGAAAAATGTGATAAAAAAGAAAAATTATTTCCAGAAGAAAAATAAAGTATTCAAAATGACTGAATGTCATTTGAATTCTGAAAATACACAAATGTAAGTGTGTAAATACTATTAATAGAAGAATTGTATAAAGGGAAATAAAGATAAAAATAATAGACACTTCTTACCTGGAAATGATTACTTTGAGTTGTTCTGGTATGAAGAAAAATATTACTCAAAGATATTATGCAATTGGAAAACGAATTGTTATTGATGTTTTGTTTTCCACTTGATTGTAGTGAATCGGTTAAAAGTTGAAAGCTTAAATAAAGAGCTTTTCGTTTACAGTTTAGCTTTTTTAGATTGGATGCCTATTTCCTGGAACACACCATATAGCACACAGAGAGAGACATTATTGTCTTCTAGATGACGGAAACAAAGTTATCATAATAAATCAAATATCCAAATATAAATAACATATTTGATATTATTTACAATTTGCCAATCCCTAGCAATGTGCTCCATATATACGCGGGAACACAAGCCAATGGACTTTACACTTACACTGTAGATAATGTTGACGATGAAATGACAAATTAAATTTTATTTAATTTGATCTTAATGAACTAACATTTAAATACTTATAAAATACAATGAAATAATTCAATTCTTGGAGTTAAACATTTGAATTAATCAAGCAAGCACTTGTAACTTTTATTTGGATCCAGTCATTCAAATACTGGTTTCGGTATCAACACTTTTAATCCTATTTACACTAATTTTACAGTTAAAATAGTCTTAACCGTTGTTTAAACAGCTTCTTGTTTTCACTAATTTTGCATTTTAAAATTGACTTCTCTCACAGTTGTGTCTGGTTTATAAATTGATTAATTAATTTGTTTAAATAATTATGGTGAAAATAATTATATTTTGATGAATCTAACAATCTATCTTGGTTATTCCGAAAGAAACAATTAAATTGTCTCAGTAATTCACAGTTTGCTTTCTTTCTGGTTTCAATGCCTCCTCCTTTTGTTTTACCCTTGAAAAAAGCCACATTTTAATGTAGGTTAATGACATTGCAGTTCATCAATTAGGATTGTTCATCAATTTTAATGTCAACCAAATGATTGTAACTTGATCTTTACAATGGTGATAAACTCTTCCACCAACATAGTAAGTCAATTTCTGTTTTATTCATCCAAATCTCAGACATCCCTGAATGTTTAGCTGTTAATACATATCTTTTGTATTATCTTCTGCATAATTTGCCTTTATACCAAACCCTCTACTCAATACTTTCTATTAGAAATCAAACTTTATCCTCTTTTCTTTGCTTTATTTTTTTTCTTTCTCTCTCCATTTTACAATAGGAATAATCATCATGTACTCTAATTGATTTTCTTGATAAAAGGATTGCCTGAACAACGTTAATTGAGGCAAAAAGATTGGCCAAGCAAAGAAAAATGATTATTTGGAGAGCAAAAAAAAGTTATTGAAAAGAAGCATTAAGCTTATAAACTAGACTTGATCAGTATTTAAAAGGTGGGCTTCTCGACGGGACAATATTTTTCACTTTTCTATTCCCATTACCACATATTACATTATCTGAGGACGTAAATATAAATCAATTGACATTCAGATTCAATCCTTTTCTAATAATAATAATAATAGAGCAAGAAAAAGCAATATCAGATGGTAAAGATAGCTGAATTGAATGATATGAGGGAAGAGTACAGTAAAGAGTTGATCTGATAAACAAAATAAAAGGTTACCTTTCAAAAAAATAGTATTGAAATCCTCTTGAGCAAACGTCTTTTCCTCAGATCTTTTTGAAAACATTATCATGAATTCCTTGTTGCTTCACATTTTTATGCATTTTTCTCTTTTTTCTCCTTTTTTTCTTTTATTTCGTCTGTTGCACTAAAACTTTCCCTTTTCATCCCTCCCATTTCACCATTAATAGCAAACCTTTTTTTATATACATTTATCTTCTCACTTCTTTATTGTGCCTAGGAACGTGTAAAGGATGAAAAACAGATGAAGTAAAAGAGGATATATCGTAAATCGAAGGCAAAACCAGAGGAAAACAAAGGCTACCAAAAGAGAGTTACTAAGAAGGGAAGAAAATTCAAGAGGAGGAATACGAATAGAAGTGAAGTCTTCTGAATTTTTGTCATGCAATAATTTGATGCAGTATAAAATTCATTGTTACATGGTTAGCTGGATGAATTGATTATAGCAGTTGTACCAGTTGTTTGCTTATGTTCAATTGTTGACAGAAAACAGATCATCATTATCAACATCAACAAGCAACTATTTACAGGAGAGGAGAGAAAAGGAGAGAAAGTCAAAGGAAAAACAATATCATCATTTGAAATTGAATTGATTACCCTGAAGAAGTATTAATCTAAGGATAGCTTAATTAGAGTAAACAATTTGGACTAAATTTTTACTGCTCAACCAATTCATTGAGTTGCTTGTTGACAAAAATAAGTCTTTTCAGTATCAATTCTCGGAACGTCTAGCAAACAGATTTTCATACCCAAACCGTAAACTGTAAACTTGTCAACCCAATCTGTATATTAAATTGTCAAAGATGGTTCAACTGGATATCCAGTCAAACAATCCAGACAATTGTTCATCTCCTTAAATGATATGATCTTAACCGAGCAATAATTGCTCTTAAATGGCTCAAATCAATCCAATCGAGATGAATATTAAAATTGTTTACTGTCAACAACACTGAAATCATGGTGAATGGTATCGACTGCCGGCAAGTTAACCATTTAATCAACTACCAATCTAATATACAACAATCTTGCTTCTCTTCTGGTGAAACTAAATTATGTAATATAGCTTGTAATCTTGATTAAGGTAAAAATGTTAATTAATCATTTACAGACAATAACCGCAAGGTAAACTGTTGCCTTCTCTTGCATGCTCTTTGAATATCCCTGATGATTATCATTCACACTATGGACTCAATAACAAAGAACAAAATTATCATATTGAAATTGAATTGGAAAAACAATTAACAATTGATCATTTCAATCAAACCAGTTAAACAAAAAAAAGTGTAAAAAAGAGATAACTTTAAAAGACATTTACTGTCGCAAACAGATTCAATTACCAGGGAAACAGCAGTAAATTGAAATCTAATTTGGGTTAAACTGTTCATCATTAAATTAACCATTAAAACCTAATTCAGTTAGTTTGAGTGAAAACAAACAAAAGGCAAGTTCAATCACCAATTAAATTGAATAATGAATTATTATCATGACCAGAGTATTTCCTACAAAAAATATTGTTCATTTAAACTGTTGCTATACAAAGCAAGCTGGGAATCAATTCCTAAATGGTGCAACATAAAGAATAGCAAATTTAATTTCTCATTCTGTTTGAATCACGTCAAACAATAATCAAAATTGAATATTTAAACTAATAATTGAACTGCTTACGTTGATTAAAAATTGAATTTACCAAAACGTTAGTTATGAACTCAATGAAATGAACAAATGAATGCATGTCTCTGACGAATAATTTTCATTAGAAAAATTGATTGCGTGTTGATTGTTTAATTTTTGGTATTCAATTAAGCTGGCAAACACTTTTACCATAAAACATTAATTGTTAAATAATGAGGTAAAAAATGTGAATCAATTTTTTAACCCAATCACACTGAATGAACAATAACAAAGCTTAATGAGAAAAGTGTAAAAATGGCAAAATTATCTTCTTTATTCAATTTTGTGATTAACTTGATCAATCTAACAAGTTTCAATCCAATGTAAAATGACAGTGAAAAAATGAACAGTTTTATTTAATAATTTAACTGTTGGTTAATTTTGTTGTAATTTTTACTTTTACTTTTTCCTCAATCTTGAACCATTTTTTGTTCCCTTTTCAACCAGATTCTGGATCCACTTGGTGAAACTTAAATTGTTTTTAAAGCTAAATTATAGTTAATGAAACAATTATTGAGATGGTTGATGAAACATTTTCCAGTAAAAAGTGCAATCATCTTTGCTTTTTTCCTCTTTTCCTTCTTTCAGTTCATCTTTTAATGAAAAATTGAATTCACCAGTTTTTATCAACACTTGCCATTACTATTATTATTTGCCAATGTTAATCATAGTTTGCTAGTGTTGATTGGAAACAATTTTTATCTTTTCTTGCTTCATCATGAGCATGATAAAAATAACTTTTTACATTGTGAGAATCACCAAGAATTAAATTGATTTTTGATAACCTTTGATGGCTCAAGTAAATAACCAAAGGCTACTTTGCTTTTTTCCTTCTTCTCGCCTCTTTATTGTGAATTGTTATTTCACAAACAATCATGAGTGAATGGTCAAGATTTCATTGTTAAAGTTGCCTATCAATTTGATATTATTGTTTAATAAGAATTAACTCTCAACTTTCAACTTCAAATTGATTTTTCACTTCTCGATTGCATCAAAATTTTCCAGCCTTTTTTGGGTCCACGCGATTATAAAAGGAAGCTGCAAAAGTAATTGCATTGCTTTCAAATCCTTTAACTTTGATCTCCATTCAAATTAACATTGACATTTAAGATGATTAACCATCGGTAGTTAAAATCACAATATCCGAGTTGCTCCACAGTTTGAGATTAATCTGATGATCATCCATATAAATATAAATCTGGGTGAAGTCTTGATTTTTCAATATAAACAGCAACAGCAAAATGATTCAGGTTAAGGTTGCTACTTTTGGCCAGAGAAATTGTGAATCCACCGAGGTAAATTATAGTAATCATTGTTAATCCCATCAGTGAATCCATTTCGGTTTTGATTCTTATTGATAAATGATTATTTGACTCTGTTGATTAAAACCATCTTTAGTCCTGGACAAACTGTAACAGCAAAAAACAATTAGGAAATGATGAGTTGTATGCATAAATATTGTGAATATGGAACTAAACTTTCATTAATAGTCAACAAACTGTTTAACTGAATAGTAATACAGTAATTTCTCGGTTAATGCATATACTCGCTTAACGCATAAAAGTTAGTTGCTCATGCTCCAGTTTAATTTTCAATGTATTTATTCAGCGGGCTAATCCCGGTTTCCGGACCGGTCCGACAGGGACCGCACCCCCATAAGGTGCGAGGGTTACACATTCACTTTACTTTGACGAATCCGGAGGGGAAGGAAATGGGATAGTCCAGAGGGCTTAAACTCTGGGTAAGCATGACTAATCAACAGTAGATGGAGTTCACCCAAATTTCAAGGATTTGACGAGATTCGAACGCCAACCCTAAGAAAAGGGTTAGCGATCTTATCGCACACGCAAACCACTAGGCTACAGTGTAAATTTAATGAAAAAACAACGCCACCTTGCTGATTTTTCGTTGAAGCTTAACCCACATTTTTATGCATTAACCGAGAAATTACTGTAGTTTGACTCTTTCACTATTAGCCTAACCAGTTGTACATAAAGTCACCCATAATAGTTTTGGCAAATCAAGAAGGGAAAAAGAATCAAAATATAATCAGTGATCTGTATAACTGAATGCACAAAGGAAAAAACAAAAGGTAGTAATGGATAACGATAAGGTTTTTATTGTATCGAGAAATGGTTAGAACTAGGTTTAAGGATAAGCAAAAAGTGTAATAGAAATAATATGATTGATTGTAAATAATTGAGAGTAACATTTACACATAAATAATCAGGTTAGATGATGAAGTAGATCATCATCACCATTATGATTAGTAATACTAACAGGTTGAGGCTTATTGATTGCAAAATGAGGATGGGGATGGAGATGAAGATGGGAATGATGATGGGAATGATGGTGGGAATGATGGTGGGAATGATGGTGGAGGAAACACTTATATTTTTATCATATCTTAACCTTATTTTGATAATAATCTGATGATAATTGATTGATGAGGTGAGAAAGGTTAAGATGATGAAAGTTGTTGAAAAAGTATAAAAACAAAACCCAAAATAATATGTGATCCGAATAATGTTAGGTTTAATCAACTATTCTTTATGTCAAACCTAATCATTATCTAAATGTACATAAAGTAATCCTGAAAACAGATTATCTTTTAATCAAACCAAAATCACAAATAAATTGTCAATATTGATCACAAGAACACAGTTAATTCCGTTAAAAAAAACGTAAAAACCAAAAGCACAAGTCGAGATAAAAAACTAGAGACACAAAAAGCAAGCACAAAAAAGGTTTACCAAAAAGATTAGGTGCAAAGTTCAGTACACAGTTGTCAATATCACAACATTACTAACCAGAAACATTAATTATAATAATTATCATCAACAATCCCATGAATCGATGAAAACAATTAACACAAAACAAGTCTTAAAAAATGAAAAACAATGAAAGTGAAAAACCGGTTAAAACAATGGCTGCCGTTTATGGCAAGGCGCCTAATCAAGCTCCATCCCTGTTTTGCTTTTGATAATTAAAAAAGGCGCAACATACAAATGGGCAACATTAAAACGATAATCTTTCAATATTTGCTCACATTTCACCTTATTATTAGTTCAATACATGATATGAAAACTCAATTTCTCAATTGTAACTCCCAATTGTGATCTAATACCAACAACAATCCAAACAAATGGTAATATCACTGATAATAATAACGTTAACAATAATAACTGGTTGTTACTCTCGGCCTTGTTCATAATCATTATACACACAAATATTATAATACATTTAACCTTAATTAAAATCTGACAAATATAAAAGCCAAGTCAATACCAAATAACCACTTGGAGTTTCAACTTTACCTTCAAGATATAATAATATAATAATAGAAGTGGGAAAAAATTTTGCAAATAAAATTATCATTACAAGCCTGAACATTTGAAACTCTGTTTTAGGTTAATCTGTAAAGTGAATTGAAAAACATGGAGAGAAAAAAATCGAAGTTAAATAACAAGGAATAATGTTGTGAGCATAAAAATAGAAGCAAAAGAAAAGTAATAAACTTACGATTGTTCATCTTGTTGATTCGAACTAATAAAAAGTACATTAGACTGAAATATAAATGATAAATATGGTTAAATTATTTTCACTTCATTCCCTGTTGATGTGTAAAATACAGATGAATGTTGTAACGTGTAACGTTTCAATGAAACAGGATGAAATAGGAACAACAAGATGGAAACAAGTGAACATATTAATGGCAATAATAATATTATTAGGAAATATTACCAAATAATAATACAAAATAAAAGGTAAACTCTAGTTGATTGATGGAATCGCGTTTCCCTTTCCTTCATCATCATCAACCTTCATCTTCCATCATCTTGATCATCTTTAACCAAGTAAACTGTTTTCAACCAGTTTTTTGTTAACAACTGAAAGTTAATTTTTGACATTCATTGCCTTTCCCTTAACCTGATAGCTATCATCTGGTTAACACCTTTTACCGGTTATAATAGACTCATGTTTGCTCAATTTTCTGGTCATTTCAGCTTTTAAAATGCTCCTAATCCAACAATTTACACTTTCTTCATTTACTTTTCAATGAGCTTGTTAGAATCGTTGATTGCTTTCGTCTATCGTTGTTGTCTTTTGTTTCATCTGATATTTTGTTTCTTCTTCAGTGAAAGCAAAATTAACTGTCAACCTTGATTGATGAGCTTTTCATGGTAAATATATGATACAAGTGAACCACTTTTTGCCTCAACTCTTTGTTGGCCACTTTTTCAAATTATAAACAATTGCCCTTTATATTAATATTTAATAGTTAATAAAAGGACCAACAATATTTTCTGGAAATCACTTTTTTCTCTCTTTATTTCAAGGAATATCAATTCACCAATTCAATCTTTACTCACTTTAAAGTCTCTTGAACGTTCATAAGTCAACTATTTTTCAAAAACATGTTTACAGTTTTGGGATTTTTTGGGCTTCTCAAATATCTGGATAAGATGTTTAGGTTTTTGGGTTCATTTGAGTACATTTTGTCTGGTATTTTTTAATTTGAAACATTTTCAAGCTTTTACCAGATTATTCGTCTAGTGTTATTTATTATCCAAAATTGACAAATTATCTCATTACTTGGTAACAGTTTACAAGAATAAGAATAGAATTTGCTTTTCATAATTTGAAATTATTTGATAGCCAAAAGGCTTTAATTATCTTTCTTCATTGTAATGGCAGACAATGGCACTTTCATCAATTGAATCTACTTTAATTTGACTGTAAGCTGTGAGGTTATTTTAAGCCATGAAATCTTTATTGTGAATCAAATTTTTGCCTTTCAAATGAAAACTCAGGCTTTAATAAATTATTGTTCATATTTATCTGTACATTATCATGGCTAATAACTGTTGAATGACATGATATGATGACAAGATCAACTGTAAACAAGGAAATTGTGTTTAACCAGAAACTCAAAAAGATACTGTAAACATTGAAGTTGAGGCAATAATAAAGAGTAAAGGTTTGAAACATGAAACATAAATCATAACCAATATGAAAACATTTCATTTGAACGAATGAATCTTCTTCATGATTCTTCAGTCATTTGATAGCTTCAAGTAAAGCTGCGACTTGACTTGATTAAAAGAATGCAATTCCGTCTCGACAATTTTAGCTTCAGATTGCGAGTAGATTGAGTCATTTTCAGGGAATAGATGTTTCTTGCTTTCATCAATTCACATTGATATTCAGGAAAAATTTAAAATTGTTGTCATTAAATTAATAAATCCATCATTACATTGAGGCTTCTTAAAAGATCAATTTACCATTATTTGTAACTTCATCTTGAAAAGATTCTGAATTTTTGTCTCATTTTTGCCTTGCTTTTTGCTCTACAATTGTGATTATGTTACAAATTTTCAGGTAAAATGATAACAACAAGGTTACAACATGAAAAGAATAAGTTCATGACTTGAATTTTAAGATTTATAACAACATTTTCAAGTTTCCTTGCGAAAATGATCATTCAAGGAGTACAAATGTAATGGTAATTAGTTAATTGTTGCTTTAGTCACTTCTCTATCATTTTAAATGCTCCAATAGTTTCAGCATTTTAACTGTTATTAAATGTTGAATTTCACCATTTTGTTAACTTGTAAAGGATTACATCTGATTTTGCTTCAGGCCTAATGGGAAAATGATTTTTCAGTTGAAAATTTGAAGATTCAAGTACAATTATGAATTTACAGAGCATTGAGCTTTTGAATTTTATATTATATCTTTAAATATGATTAAGATGATTAACGTCCTTTTAAGCATTCAATTGTAGGAAAGAAACAATTCAGATTTTCAACTTCAATTGTCAATCTTTTCAGATAAAAAATTATGTAACCTCTTGAATTTTTTTCATTGATTTTTCATTTTAAGAATCAACATTTGAAATGCAACTTTGTATTGACTGATCAAGAGCTGATTTAACTATTGATTGAATCGGAAATCAATCAATTGTACCAGAAGTTTATTAATAGTGTTACATTAACTGTTTTATTTCGATAATTTATTCTAAAGTCAAACTGATTAGACTAATAATGAATTGTTAATTTATTCATTGAGAAATTAATGTTTACATTTTATTCTGTTTGTTTTTCCATTGAAAATTCAGTGGTTGGCTTATTGTAAAGATTGGCACAAGAAAAGACAATTTTAATCAAATAATTAGCATAATAATAATGTTCCATTTCATGTTAATTTGAAATTTTTCTAATTTTCCTTTGTTGCGTCTGCTGATTAGGATCCATTCGGCTTTGCTTATCCATACATTTTGGTGCTAATCAATTGGTTAATTATTTGAAAGGAATGGCTTTTTTTATCATCAACAATCGACATCTCAAATTGTGGCTTAATGGTTATTGTCACTTAATTGCTAATCATTTAAATAATAAGATTGTTTCAACTTTGATGGTGATGTTGACAAAATTGGAATAATTTTCTGTAATTGCAATCCTGTCATTAACATGCTCCAAACTTTCATTGTATTGCTTTGAGTCCATCTCAGTTTCCTTCAATAAATTTAACAATCAACAGATTCAGAGGCGCTTTCATTGATTATCCGGTAATTATGTTTCATTGGTCCCAGCATGGTTGATTGCTGTTTGATTGATTAAGATTGTTGAGTAAACTTGTAATATTTTTGAAGCAGGAAAAAAAAGGTGTAACTTTGACCCAAATTGATTTAGTGAAGTTGAAAGGTGTACAATAATTGAAGAGATGTCAACAGCTGATTAAATGGTGATGACCATTTTTATGCTGGTTTGATGATTGGATCAATATTTTGAGTTTCCGAGGAAAGGATATGTTTATGGTTTTCCTGGATGGATTGTTGAAAATAAACAACTCTAAAGATGTCAAGAAGCAAACAAATCAGCTAAAAAATGTACTTGTAATGATGGTAGGCAATGGTTGACTGGATCAAATGGTGTCCACCAATTTACACCTTATTAATGGTGATGATCAATGGCAGGCAAAGTTATCCAGGTTAAACGTAATCAGCGAAATTAAATTGTAATTAATATTAGCTTTTGTGAAGATGCAAGTAGATCTAATAATACATGGAGTGTGTTGAAACATGTATTACAAGATGGTTTTGTCGAGATTCACAAGTAAAACCTTTTCTTCCTCAATCCAAGTTAATGAATCTTTTAACATTTCCATTTGACGATAATCAGAGTTACGTTAACAAGGTATTGACTAACAAAATTATTTAATTGATTATCATTAATGTACGTCACTTCTTTTCAATATAAAACACTGTAACCATTGCAGTTGTCACAAAATCAGTGGAAACATCGCCAAACCATCATCATGTCAACATTGGCTACATTCATTTATACCATTGGTTAATACATATTTGCGCCAATTTTAAACTCTCCATGGGATTGATTGACAACAGTGGACAGGAAAAGCGCATTAAATTATTAATACAATTATTTTGTTTCCATTTAATTATTTTTGCCTCTCCAAATCCAGTGAAACATGATATTTATCAATGATATGAGTGACTCTCCATAAGTTAACATCCAACCAGTGATACATTTTAATTAGACTCAATATTTTGTCGTTCTTGTTGTTGTTGTTCAAGGTAACAATTTACGTGACATTTAGCTTTACCATGATAAGATATCTGATCAATTTAAGTGGCATTTTTTGTTTCCTCGCCATTTTTTTGTCCATGTGTGTGTGTGTTGCTGTTTTTTAGGTTAATTTAAGCTTGTTCAAATGTTATTTTGTGTGCTCTTAAATCAGCTTTCAGTTTCTCTTGATCCATGTAATCAAAGTAACAATCCAATATATGTTTCATGTTTACTTTCTGTTCATCCATACAATTTTTTTTCAAGATCATTATTGATTGATGTAGTTGTTTCATTTGACAACTTCCGATTTATTGATATTAAATTCACTTCTTTCTGTTTACTTGTTTCTATCATTTCTTTGTACTTTTGCGCCTTTTCTCCATTTGATTCATCAGCATCATCATGATCATCATTTCGTTTCTTCATTTTCTTTTTATTCTTGTTGAACATCTTCTCCAGTCATCATCATCTTCTTTCTTTTTCTACTTCATTGTCAGATATTTTGATTCTGTTTACTTTTATTATTTGGCTTTCGTCGTCAACTCGTTGAAATAGCTTAGATTACATTAACCTTGGCTGGTTAAAAGTAAAAGTTTAAACAGTTTACACAATCACAATTGATTTAATTTGATTCTTTTCCATCCAATGCTTGGTAATTCAACATGTACCATTGATGATTCTCTGAATTATTTAACATTCCAAGGGAAGAAAAGCTTTAATAGCTGTTTTAAGTAGAGTCTTTGGGCTCTCAATGTTTTTCAAGTGACCATTATATCCATTTTTGTCTTTAAATTGATGGTCAAAATTTATTTATCAACAACTCTTCAGTCTTATCCTTTGATTCCTCTCTGATCAAGTTAACTGGCATGTTTTTATTCCACTTGTTTCTCTACCTAAATTCACTGCAGAATGTGAATCTGATAAATAGAGTTAATATTCCCAATGGAAATTAATTGCTCAGGGATTAAGCCAATGAGTTTAATTGTCAGGAATTGCCAGTGGATAGTTAATAAATAGCGAATAATGATTTGAGACGAGAGAAGGGTTATAATAAGGTTAACAATCAGCTTATTGTAATGTCCATTCACAACATCGATTATAAATCACCGATTTGAAGATGTAATAGAGTAAATGTTGCAATTGAATAAAAATCCAAACCAAGAGGGCAAAAAAAGACATTTATATGTTGAATCGGTTGAAATAGAGATTCTTGAATCCATCTGATAAAACCAATTGAATGGGTTGCAAGTGTGACAATCATTTAAGATGTTGTTGATGTTAAAGATGATGAGACACAAGAAAGCTTTTCAAATTTAATCCTTCATGGAGTAACCATAAAAGCACAAATATCTTTGTAAATATTTACTTATTATCAACGGCGATTTCACATTCAAGAGTAATCAAACACTTGCCAACTGACACGCATATTAATATATAATTTTGTTCAAATTGTATGAAATGAATCCCCATTTCATCAGTTGGAATATTTTGATTATGTTAATTTTTCATGAAGTTGATCTTGACGTAGTTCACACCATTTGCCTTTTTTCCCTGTTCCTGGGTCATATTTAGGATGTTTATTGATCTGAATACCAAAGCTTTTCTGTTCTTTTTTTCCTTTCTCTTTGCTTCTCTTGGTGGCTGCCATTTTGTTAACATCATTTATGTACTTTTTAAAACACTGTAAAAGTGAATAATGATAATAATGGATGATGATGGAGATGATGATGCTAATAATAGTGCTGGAATCTTTTTCGTTAATTGATTATTTTGTGTCTTGATAAGCTGTTTCCATTATGGTTGATGAAACTTTTGTAACCTTTTTTCTTGTGTAAACTCTCCTTTGTCCAATTTTTTCAGTTATTCTTGTTGCCATCATTTTCTTGTCTTGTCTCATATTTTCCTCTATTTTATCCTTTTTTTTCGTCCGAAATGTTCTCCTCTTCTTCCTTGTTTCCTTCTCCTGGATCAATGATTAAATGTAAATAAATGTCGTCAAATTTTTGTTTGTCGAGGGTGACAGGGTCATTGAAAAGACCAACCCAGGTAGAATGGATTAATTTTCCACTTGATTGGTCGATGGATCCAATGAATCAACAAGGCATTCAAGTTGTTGTATTTCATTTGTCATCACCATCATCATGAGTTTTTCATCATGATCAATGTCTAAACTGTTTTCATGCTTTCCTTGTCCTCCCTCAGTGTACTTGAGTTTGCACTATCCACATCATCAGGAAAGCCTTTCACAAGTAAAATAAAATAAAGATCAAGTTTTGCTCTTTTTGTCCATCTTCCGACATCTCGAACAACTGTAAATAATCAAGAAAAAATTGTTAACTTTCATTTCTCATTTTTATCATAAAATCAGTCTTCCTTTCCTTACTCAGTCTTTTCCATTCAATAACTTTGTCAATAAATGATTTGATTCCAATTTTGTTTCCATGAAAGATGCTCAAAATTATCTGATGACCATTCCATATATAATAGATTCATCCGGTGTAACGGTTACTATTAAATTGGTTACCAAAATGAGGGTTGGTTAATTGAAGAGAATAGTGTTTATCATGCTAATTGTGATCCATCTTTCCATTCATGAAATCAAAAATTGATTTGCATGTTATAGACACCAATTGAAGATTCAAATCAACTCTCTAATGATACCTCATAAACTGGCTGCAAGAAAAGTGATAAAAAAAGAGAAAAGGTCCAGATAATTGTCAAAGGAATTGAAACTAGTAATTCATTAATTCATGGTCAACTAACTGGCCAATATGTAATTCACTTATCAGCTCTTTTTCCCTCTCTCAAACTCAATTTTTTTATATTTGGCTAACTTGGAAACCATTAATTGATCATTTTTTCCAAAAGAAGGTAAAAACTGAAATGAATAAGCAATCAACTTTTACCTTGAACAGGTTGATAGAGTAAAACCCAAATCAATAAGTCTCTTTGAAGGTGTTTCTGTCATCGAAAATCGCCCATCTCAAAATTTAAAAACGCTGTTGAAAAGCGATCTACAAGTCTAGTTAACAGCGTTTTGGCCTTTCATAAAATCAAGGTTATTATAAATTTTGAGAGGTCGCTTTTTGGTGGTTTATACACCTTTACATCCTATCCAATTTCATCGTAATTTAATTCGATTCCAAATTGTATCCAATCCAATTTCCAATGGTAAATGGGAAAATAGGTGAAAAGGTGAAAAAGTATAAAAAGATGAAACGATGAAGGATGAATGAAAAGAAAGGTTAAAGTAAAAAATCATGCAAAATCACATATTCAATCATCACTTGTCAGATTCTTACCTTCACTCACTTACTTATCTGTTTTTTGCATCTGTAACTATATATTCAGTCTCGATTCTGGTTTTACATGCAAAATGATTTTCAAATCAGTTGATATTATGCATTGAACGTTGAATAAAAAGGTTCTTCAAGATTTAGCCTGTGGCCTGAACTTGGTTAACTTTTCCTCAATTGATGATTGATAAGTCGAGCCTTTCAGTGAACTTGCTTTCTCAATTTTTGATTCATCGTGTTTCATCTTTACTTTCATCTTTGTGAATCCTTAACCAGCCTTTTGTTACAGGTTACTTCTCTTTGATTTCATTCCATATTTCTGTTGCTTCTTCAGTTTAGCTTTGCGTTTCCATCAACATACGAGTTTACAATTTAACACGGAGTAAATTGAAATCCTATTGAGAAAAAAAGAAACATTAAATTGCTATAATATATGATTGAATGATGATTTTGGAAATTGAAGGGAGCACTGAAATGATTTCATTTTTTTCAAGTTACGCTTAGCAACACTATTAGACAGTTGACATTCAGGCTTAAGAAACAGGGAAAAAGATGCGATTTTAAGAAGAAAATATTTTCCAGAATCGATTGAGATTTTTACAGCTTATTGTCATTTTTTTCTCACTCTTTCCCTCAACATGCTGAATGATGGAAAAAAATAGCAGCAACTTTTAAACTTGCCAAGAAAGGAGATTTGTAGGTTAGGTTAGTTGATAGAAAGTGAATGAGAAGGTGATGAACATATAATAGGTTAAGAGAGAGAAAAAAATGATTGTTCATAAGAGAAATTCAGAGAGAAAAGTGTTTTAGGATGAAAGAGACCAAAATATGAAACCTTGGTATGAGCTTTATGATGCTTTTGATCTAATTCAGTCTCAAGTTTTTTTACCAACAAAAACGTGTCAATCTCAAGCTGCTATATTCTTTCTTCATCTTGTGATAATATTTCCATCACTTTCCAATAACACTTTCACCTTTTTTTAGATCAAATTTTTTTTGCTGCTGTCCATTTTTGTTTGTAAACTTTCATTTGGTCACACAAAAAATATCCAGTTTGTTTTCATTTTCCGTTTCTTTACCCTTTCTTTCTTGTTACTCCACCTTCTGCTTTTTTTGGCTTGTATTTCTTGATAATCTTTAGTTGACTGGTCAAAATTATTTTTGATTGTAATTACTAGTATAACCACTGTAACTATGGAATCAAAACAAAAAGTAAATCTCTTAAGTTGATTGATGACAGGAGGCAGAATGATTCCTTCAATGTCCAGCATTTACAGTTGATCTTGCCAACTTTAATTCAAGATTACTTCTTTCAAACTGTTTCTATTTTTTACCATGTTGATAGTGGTGATGATGATACTAATCAACAATGAGATTGACAATCTGTTTAATCAATTAAAGTTAATTAATAGGATTTGAAGGGTCGCCATCAACAAAAAGATTCCCGGTCTGGTCCGATTTGCAACTTGTAATGTAAAAGGAAAAGGTTAAAGCAACCAAAAACTAGAAAAGGCAACAAAATAGCGTTACATTAGATTATCAAAGTCAGAATAATCAGTTTAGTTCTTTCTCTTACCTCAAATTGATCCTTTAACTGTTGAACTTCACTCAACTGAATTGAATTATCTCAATGGGAACATTTAATATTGAGTTAAAATTGTCAACAGAATCAGTTATAAAATAACTGTGACAATTCAAGTGAAACGATTTTAAAATGAAAGATTGTTTATGTCGTTGATGTTATTCAAAACAATGTTTGATCAACATGGTCGAACAGTCATTTCAGGTCATTTTAAGTGACATCGTTAAAGTTGATTAATGGTATTCAAGAAACACAATTTAAAACACTAATAGCAAATTCAGTCGCAATTTGGTTAAGAAAGAGAAAGAGCCAAAGAAAGAGTTGACTAATGACCGTTAAGCTTTTTTGTTTTAAACAAGAGCCATCTAGAAGATAAGATTGGAAGCTGTGTTTTAGCTTCAAGACAATTATAATGCAATTAATTATGCATCTTTAATGTTTGAATAAATAATTAGTGATCAAAGCTTTGTTGAACCAACTATCAATGTGAATATTACAATAATTACCATGATTGATCTAGTTAATTTCATGTGAATCTTAATTTATATTTGCTATTAGATATATTGTTGATTTACTTTTCCTGTGAATGTGGTTTCAACTAATAACAATTGTGGATTGAGAGTAAAACAAGTGTCAATCAAATCGGTTAAACATCAGTTAATACCTAACCAAGTAAATCATCATTCTAATGCTTATTGATTGCCATCATAAAACATGAAATAATACAAAATACAACTGTACAAGGAAGAAACAAAAATGTACATGTTTTGATGTTCATCTGTTTAACAGACAATCACAATTTTACCCGAGAGAATCATGATTTGTTGAAGATGATCGAGACAAAAGTTCACCGTTGAATCATCATCATCTATTACAATCCAATTCACCTTCAAACACTGAACCAATGAATGAAGAAAACTAATTTCCGGCAAACTTCACCTTATTGAACAACCTTATGAGGTAATGTACAGTGGAAAGAAGAAAAGAAATTATATAACCCTGAGAAAATAAAAGTTAATCGTTATCAACATGGAATAGAATTGAGTTAAAAATTTAATTTAACCAATGAAAGGTTAAACTAATCAAACATTTAACTTAATCGAAAGAGAATGTCAAAATCATAACATGAAAAGGCCAAATTGACTCAACAACTAAGCATTTGTTTATATTTTTACTGATTCTTGCCGAACATGAGACGTTAAAATTGAAACGTTATACTGATTCAATAATTATTTAGCTTTGAAATTTACATTTTCACGACCAATCGAGATGCATTTCACACCATTTGTTATTCAAGAGAGGTTAATCAACTTTAATGTATTTACAATGGGAAATGTGTAAATTGTAATATCTTGTTACAATTGGCAAAACAATTGAGCAAATAATTAGCCTGTGAAAAAATCTTCTTTTGTATTGATTAATATTTTAGATAATGATTGGACAATAGCTGAAGAATCAGAATTGGTTCACTTTGTCTATTTACAGTGTTGAAATGAACAAAATGGCATTTGATAATCAATAAAGATTTGAACAATTGTGACAAGATTGGTTAATATCATATTTCATGGGAAGAGAGAGTCAGAGAAAAAGAATAAATGATTCCAATCTGTAACATGAAATATTAATTTACTAAATTGTTACAATGATTAAGTTGCATTGTTATTAGCATATGTTGTTTACTTGAACCCGTTTATGCTCTTATCAGCCCATTAATTTGATCTTTTTTTTTCTTTATTCCTTATATTTATTCATCTGGAAACAGGAAAAATATGGTTTCACCAACAAATGCCATTCTAACAGGTTTAGCTGTTGCTGATATGCTGGTTATGGTTGATTATATACCATTTTCAATTCACAATCATATACGCCATGAGCAACCGCCAACTGAATTGTATTCCTATCCGTGGACAGTTTTTACATTTTTTCATGCTCATTTTAGCGTTGTTTTTCATTCTATATCAACATGGTTAACCATTCTTCTAGCAGTTTGGAGGCTTTTATCCGTCAGGTGAGAATTTCCAAAATGATATAAACCTTCATCTCGAATACAAAACAAAACAAATAGTGTCCATTGTGTTCCATGTTTATCAATGTCTGGTAATTCTGGAATCAGTTCAATTCAGCAAAATCCAACAAACTGGTTTTCCCAAAATAATCACAAATTGACAATTATCTTTTTTTTGCTTTCTTGGAAGATTTATCATTAGTGTGAAAAGTAAACATCATTATCATCTTTATTAATACCATTAATTTTATGATTCACAATTTGCCATTCCAATATAACACCATTTCGTCTAAAAACAGGCAGATAAACCATGCGTAGGATAACATGAAATAAGGTTGAAAAGACTACAACAAATAGAAACAAATAGGAAAAGAGAAAAGAATTAAAATAAACAATTAGTCTTATTACAATATGTTAGATAATGTAAAGAGAATGAAAAAAAGCAATGAAAATATCTGAAGCATATACAATTAATGAAAAACTTACCCTTTTTTTGTGTACAAATTATATTTTCTCTTAAACAAATTGAAAGGTTTAACTGATTATGTTAGACATTAATATATGAGTTAAGCCTGGCAAAGTTTTTTTAAACATGTTTGGTTACGACGAAATAGATTTGTGTATCAGGACATTAGAGTTGAGTATTAAGATGTAATGGACCAAACTATTACCAGAAACGATAAAATAAGACAACAATTGAGGAACATTCAAAGGCCATTTTGGTTTGACAGAAAAGACCAACAAACTGAGCAGCAAAATATCACCAAATGTAATATCTAAAAAAGAGAAATCAATAAAAGAATTACTAAAATATTAAAATATTATTGAACTCAGTTAAATGTTTAAAAGATTTACCTTTTAATATGAAACATTCCTTTTCTCATTTCTCTTATATGTGATTTTCTTTCCGGTCTGGTCCATAATTTGCAACATTGGTCAATGGTTTAATGGAACAGTTATCCAACACGAAGTAGAACTTGGTTTACAATGAGAAGCGCTATTATCTCCATCATTTCTATCTACTTGATAGTTCCAATATTTTGTATCCCAATGTACCTTTCCTTCACCATTTCACCTGTCGAAGATACAATTGGTATTTATTATCGGGTAAGTCGGAGTTAATTGTGGATTGATTACAAGCGAAAAAATCCAAAAATAAAATCTTTGAGTCAACCTGAAAAACTGAGGAATTGCATTTGCATAGAAGCTCAATCCAGTCATTTAAGTCTACTTTCCAGGTTTCGGAAAATTTGCTGAAAATAAATCAAGGAAATTGATTTAAGGTTAGCATATTTCAATCGATGGATGAAAACAGGTGGTTGTCATAACGTCAAATGCCTTGAAGAGCATTGAAAGTGATCCTTAAATTGAAATCCTTGACTTGTGAATTACCATTTGTAATAAAAGGCAATTAATAAAGAGATGACTGGAAAAGGATTGACATCTTTCAGCCTGAAAAGATACAGAAGAAAAATTTACAGATTAATAAGCTGTAACGTAAATTGATTCATATAGATTGAGTATAACTGAGATTTCCCGTCATTTAATTATTCCATCAGAACATAATAACCAGAATTTTAGCATTGAATTTCTATAGAAAGGACTTTTTCAATTTTCTTGCAGTTTGAATAAAATCCTATTGAAAACTTTTGAAAGTTTTTTGAACTTTCAATCAGAATAATTAAATAACGATAATGATTTTAATTTTAATGATTGTATGAACTTCAAGCTCTCGGTTGATGTCAATTTTTTCAAATATTTATTGTTGATCATTCACAATCAACAATTCAATTTGAGACCAACTTCGAGAGGATTGATTTTACTGTTGAGTGAAGTCCCTTCTCCGCTATTTTTTGGTGCTGAAGATGAAATTTTCCAATCTATTTTGTTATCATCTCTGGCCAATAACTCTAATTCAATGCTCTGCCTGGTTTCGATCCGTTACTTTAAGCAAACTTTTTTTCATTCTGGCATAGAATTTGATAATTTTAATGAAAATTAAAATCAATGAAGATCGAGTAATGCAAAAGATTCTCAAGGAAAACAAGGATTGGACTCAAAAACAATAAGACACAGCTAACAGAGGGTTGAACAAATAATACCTGCATAATCATGAAAGCAAATTGATAGAAATGGCAGAGAGATGAAAATTTTGTTATTCACAGAATTGAATGAATAAGAATGAAAATATTTCAAGCAACAAGTTTACAGAATTATTAACGGAATAGTGAAAAAGCAAATAAACAAAATAGCAACTTACATGCACATGTAATAAGTTGCCAAAAAAGAAACCAAAATTGGAAAATGAATTCTCTTTTCTGTTTTCCTTTATCTTGTTTTGTTACCATTATTTATCATCATTATCTGAACCTTCCATGGCCATTATAGAGATTCGGGATAAAAATGTTGACGATATGAAGAAAAAAAAACAGTCAGTCTCAGGGAATAACAGATCAAGTTGAATGCCATTGAAGGAAACCTGGAATAGGACAAAAGAAGCATAGAGTTAGTACAATGAATAAATAAGTGAGTTTAATTGATGAAAGCGGAGAAAGGAAGACAAACAAAAGAGGATTAAAAATAAAGACAATCAAATTATAGTTGGTTTAACAAGCATACAACTTAAAAAATTAAGCCAATTAGTTAAATCTTGAGTTAAGTAAGTGTAGAGTTTGGTTGATGATGTTGATGCTGAGAAAAGATTACATTTACTCTTACTCAAGCTTCAGTTGAATTAAATCAAGTTTTAAGTTAATTTACATTTACACTTGGAGTAATCACAATGTGCATAATATCAGTAAATCTAATTAAGGTAACAACATGTTTAAAGGTCAATTAAAAGGTCAATACATTTTGATTCAGCAAGAACAATGTATCAATTAGTGGAAGGGAAAGTCATTAACCAAAACAGCTTTGTTTACTACGTTAACAAACATAATCTCATTGAAAGTTATCAATAAACAAACTTGTTAGGTAAAGTTAATTAATCCAGTAGTTAAAAAGCAAATATACTCATGATAAATACCTTCATAAAAAGATAATCCAAATGGTTGAAACTGAACATTATTAGTAAATATGAACATTGATTCAATTTTTTTAATTTCATTATCAGACAAAATAACGATTTTTCATTTGTTTACCGTTTTTTTGGTAAGCGCCATCTTTGAAGTGAAAATCAAAACATAGTCAGGAATCAGTCGATATTTTTTTTCTCGGTTCATGTGAAACTCTTGGATTCTGTTAAATTATTGAAATTGTTTTTAAATTTTTTATCAAGTTTAGTTTATAAATCTCATCTATAACTATTTCTTCGTCACTTTCACAGCAGCTTTCATTTCTTCACACCATTGATACCTGCCAAAGTTAAGGGTTAATTCTGTGTATCTCAAGAGGCTTTAAAATAAAACTAAATTTCCTTTCCTTCTTTTTGGTTAAACGAGTGGAAAAAAAATCTTAAAGATGAAAAAGATCTTTAAGTATTGAAATCCTGGTAACTCTGCTCCTCCAATTAATTCATTGCTAAGAACCTTTGATTCTCATCATTAGTTGATTGTATTATATGGATTCAACTTGGTAGACTCTTGAGAAGGAACACAATTTCCATGGCCTCAAAGCTTCATTTATGTGCTTCTCTTCCCGCTGCTTCTCTTGACAATTCACTTTTTTCCACCTCCTCTTATCATGATATAATTCCTCATGGCTCTAGTTATTCAGTGATACGAGAAAAAAAATAACTATAAACTTTTTTTAAAAGGAATCTCCTTCAAGAGCTTTCTTGTATTTTTATTCAATATCCTTAAGGTTGTCAAAGTTTTTGTCTCAGTGAACAAGTAAAATGAAAGAAATGAGTTAAATTATAAAATGAAAAGAAATATATTTTCACATTTAATCTATAGACTTCTATTTACTTTGTAACAATTTAAAACCATAATTTGTATACGCTATCTTACTTTAATAGTAATTTGGTGTTTTTGTTTCTCCTTTGGTTCAAATCTAAGTTCATAATCATGCTTTAAGTTCAACTTTATGCTTGACTAATTGTTTTTGTCTTTATTTATTTATTTTCATTTACAGATCGATTGGAGCGAGTTATCCCTTAAAAACGACAAGTTCCTGAAGAATCTGAACTTTTGGGTTTTCAGCGTAGGAACAAAATTAGTGCCTTGTATTTTGTTAACTTATTTTAGTCTGGCAATAATTAAAATCCTGATTGAGGCAGATAAACGTAAAGCTCGTCTTCGCTCTTCATACAACAATAATTCAAAGCCTGATCTATTAACACCAACAGCCACTGGAACTGGAACAACAATCAATGATAATACCAATGATAGTAGACGTTGGAGTTGTTCACCTGCCTGTGATCCAGCAAGCACAATTAACGAAGCAACAAATAAGATTGAATTATGCCAATCCAAAAAGATGAACAATAAAAGTAAACGAGGTTCAGCAAGCACAGGATCCCAGCTAGATAATAATAACCTAACCAATTCGTCACAACAACAACATCTTCTCCATCCAGATTATCCTCATAATAATCCATCTCCGCAACATCAACACCACCACCACAGTCACCACCATAACCATCATCATGAGTCCAGTCAAGCCCATGATAGGACTACCCGTCTATTGCTTGCTGTATTATTGATTTTCCTTCTCACTGAGCTACCCGGAGGAATATTAATTGTTTTAAGTGTCTTCCTTGGCGAGAATTTCTTCCAAACAGTTTATTCACCATTAGGTGATCTACTTGACATACTTGCTTTAATCAACAGTGCCATCAATTTTATTCTCTATTGTACAATGTCAAGACAATTTAGGATAACATTTAGGAAAATATTTTGCCAAATTGGTGACAATGAAGAAACCGATATTCTTGCTTCACGTCACAATGTAATTGTAAACAAATCAGCAAATCATGTTATTTACAGAAATGGTAAAAGTGAGGTTACCTTTGTCTAGTCCCATTATTATTAATCTTTGTTGATGCTAATTTATGTTTCCAATCAATATTTATAATTTTAGCTTCATTGCTTCATTTTTTTCCTTTAATTCTTTTTCGCTTTGCGTCAATCATTATGTTTATTTATGAATAATACATAATAGATTGACAGATATTTTTCAGTTACTTAAGATGGAATGTAATTATCTTCCTGTGATGGTATCAATCAATGATTGTTCTGACAAAGTAATCATTTTAAATGCTGATTTTATTATTATTTGCTTATTGATCGACTATTATCTTGCTTGATTTCTAATTACTATTTTTAGCCACTATTTAAGTCAATCACACTTTATGCCTGAAAAAAAGATGATCATTTAAAAGTGATGATTGTTCAACCTAAGAGCTTAAATCTGTTATATAAACTGTTGAATAATGGAATAATGAAAAAAATGTAAATTATGAATCTGCAAACAAAGTTTCTTCTTTTCTCTAGCGATTTAAGGTTAAGAGAAAAGGATTTAATCGCGCAATTTTATCAATAAAGCTACGAATTACGAAAGTATGAATAGATGACCTCGATGGATTGGTCGCCGAATTGAAATTTATTATTGATTGGTACAATAAACACTGTCCATTGTAAATGACTGATTTATGATTACTAAACAAGCTTGGTACATATTTTTATAAACACTCTGTAAACACGAAAAAATAACACAAAAAGTCTGTAAAAAATTAAAAAATCTGTAAAATGCAATGTTTTTTCTTCTACAACGCCATTGTGTACATTGTGTGAATTTAATATATGATAATTGATAAATGTTGAGCAAATAATTTTAAAACACTGCTTTATTCACCGTCCAAGCGGTATGCCGTTAATACTCGGTATTCGTATTTGATTCCGGGCTCTCCTGGTTGGCGTTGAATAACCCATTTTAGAAATGGTCTATTATCTTGTTCTTTTGATCCACTTGCTTCATCATTATCTATTGATGGGCAGACGTAGTCGAGAAAATCAAATATTTTGTTAGCTTCTTCAATACTGTTCAAAACTGATATCACTCTGACACCCAACAAACATCTGAAATCCAGTTTTGTCAATGAAACGGCAATTTCATAGCTTTCGGTATCTTTTAAACTCAGATTTATCCAAAATGTAGCCACCAGTTGGCTCTTTTCATTTTTATAACGGCAATCTGGACATGGGAATGAAGTTTGAAGTTCTGAAGATGCTTTAATTTTGTTGATAGCTTCGGTAGAAGCCGATTCTTTATAATTACAATTGGGACACACTAGTTTAATGAAATCGATGACCTTTCTTGATGATGGTAGATATCTTTTTACTTTTGCTTTAACACAGTATCTTTCATCGCTATCAAAAGCTAGATATTCTTTAATTCCAAATAGTCCTTCAGGATTTTTAAATTGGACACACGCTGGAAATTTTACGGGACATGAAAGTTTCATTCTTTTAGACGGTAAAGGCTTTGAATGGTCAGAGTCGTCAGAGGTAGAATGAGTTGAGGGATCATGATCATTTAAAAAAGACGATCCAATATCGGAGATTTCACAAAGGCTGATCGCGGGATCAGCATCACTCACGATCTGAGTAGAATGAGAAGGACTGATTGATGAACATGATTCTTGTATCTTTTCAATAACAGTAGTTAATTTAGGCTGAACATTTGGCGTATTAGATTGTACATTCGACTGTGTACTAGAATGGGCAACTGGCTTTGCTATAGTTTGTACATTAGAATGCGTATTAGAATGGACATTTGGCTGTGTAGTAGATTGGGCATTTATCCGCGAAATAGATTGAGAGTTTGACTGCGTATTAAACTGAACATTGGCCTGGGTATTAAACTGAACATTGGCCTGGGTATTAGATTGAGTTTTGGGCTGAGTATTTGGAACGTTTATCGGGTTATTTGAGGCAACAGGATGTGATATATTCAATCTTTCTTGAAAACTGACTCCAAGGATACTGTTCGAGTTAACATTTCTGATTCTTTTTCCGTAATGGGTACCACCTCTTAAATGAAGTTCATAAAAACCAGACTGAATCTTTGCTTCGGCTATTTGTAAATTAAAAATTGCAATAAAAGATCCTCTTTCCAATTTTCTAGCCTTTTCAGCATGACGATCCCACGCGGTTATACAAACTAACTGGTCCATAGGGATACCATCGTAGTGTTCACAATTTGGAGAGAACCAGTTGTATTTAAGAAATGGTTTTGTACCATCAGCAACAATCAAAATGACTCTATGGCTTGCAATATCCTTGATGTCAATTACTTTACAGACCATATCAACCCAACCTGGCATACTAATATTTTCCAATGAAACCTCCAAAATTTTTCCAGCTAACCAGCTTTCAAGCTCGATAACACGAGTGAAATCAGATTGTTCAATAGTAGGCTCTTTGGCTTCAAAACGTACTTTGTATGATTCTGCATCTTTGTCTTTAAACGAAGAAAATAATAATATATCGCCACTTTTAATACACCTATACACTTGATTTCCAGTTGTCATAAGACGATGGATCCTGATAATGTTTCCAGGCTTGATGTGAGGGAAAATTTCATCGAAAGTTGTCGAAAAATTGACTTTTATTGCATCATAAGTTTCATCGCGGATGTAAACTCCTTGTTCGTGATATTTACGGATTACTCCATAAATGTTGTTAAACTTGCTGTTAGAAGTCAAAACAGCTTTCAAAGGAGTATACGTATATTTAGCCATCAAAACAATTCTTTTGATTTGCACCTATGTGAAAACAGATGAAATTTGACACATTAGACAACTTCATAAGACGATTTACATGAGATTAAAATAAGAATATCAACAGATTTTCCCGCTTTACGGTTACAGCTGCGACTCAACCTAAATAGCGCGTAAAATAAATGTGTTATATAGTCTTTTGGAACATTAAGCTTATATAATCGAAAGTTTCGATTCAAAATGCTTCAAAATCTTAATTGGTGTACTTATTGAGATCGTGGAGTATCTTAACAAGTTCTAATCATGAAAATATAACACAATATTTAATCTGCATATCTGTATATCGGAGACAACAATTCAAGTGTCAAAAGTTAAATCGTAGAGTGTGTTTATTGACGTATCCTTAGTAGTAGGGACTTGAAGTTGAATATGTTAATATTTAGTTTAGTCAGCGATCGATAAGATAGAATAAATAAATTAACTTACCTCTTTAGAGATCAGTAATTGGTAAACAAACAATTAAAATTTTTAAGCAAAGTGAAACTGTAAAGAGACAATAACAAAATAAGATACATTAAACACAGAATTAAACTTTACCTCCGAAACTTTGACTCTTTTTCTGTCATGAGTTGCTAACTTTCCGGATGGAATAGCTAATTCAAGCAAACAACAATCAAGTAAGTTTAATTAAGCTATCACAATCTTTAGTAAACAGCTAAATTTTATTGAAACACCTTTGTCTATTTCAAGCCAATAGATGGCACAAGTAAATATTTACGCCATCTTGTGGTTGTTTGAGTTATTTGTAAGCATTAGTAAGCATTAATTCTCTGGTTTTATCGTCTTTTCCAATAAATTCATCTAGTTTTAAATTAAGACATTTATAATTTGTGATTTCCTTATTAATATCATCATGGTTAAAAAACAAACACCTAGTGACTTCCTTAAGCAAATTACTGGCCGACCGGTGGTTGTCAAGTTGAACAGTGATGCTGATTACAGAGGAGTTTTGGCTAGTCTCGATGGTTATATGAATATTGCATTGGAGCAAACTGAGGAATATGTCAACGGTCAATTAAAAAACAAGTATGGCGATGCTTTCATCAGAGGCAACAATGTATTTTACATCAGTACAAGTAAACGAAAGTGAAGAGCCGATATTAAATTCCATAAAAAGATTCTGCAAACTAAATGCTCTTGGATCTTTTGTAAGCAGTCTATTGCTTTTCTCTCTTTCCATCTAATCTCACCATTTGTCTTTGTATAAGAAATTAACCCAATGTTTATTAATAAACTAATGTCATTCTAATCAACAATTCTATCTCAATTTTTGCTTAAACTTTATTGTGATACATTCAGCTGCTACCATCAGATTTGATGAACAATTAAGACGACCTATTAAAGTCAATGTAGATGGAACTAATCGCGTTTTACAGTTGTGCCATAAACTCAAAATCTTGAGACTTTGGTTGAATTATCAACAGCATACTGTAATGTTGATAAAAAACGCATCCAATAGAAAGTCTATTTAGAGCTTGTTGCTGTTTAAAAAGTGATGGAAATTTCCAAGTAAGAATAATTTCAATAACAATCAATTAGAGAGACACAGCAAAACAACGAAACTAGATGGATGAACGATGAAACGCTAGAGATGATCGCTGATCAACTTTACAATGGTCGACCTAGCAGTTATCATTATACCAAGGCTTTAGCTGAGAACTTATTGTATCAAGAAGGAAACAATATGTCGATTGCCATAGTTAGACCTTCCATTATTACTGCTTCATGGAAGGATCCTACTCCTGGTTGGATTGATAATTACAATGGTCCATCAGGGTTCCTTGTATCTTCTGGTAAAGGTGTACTTCGGACGATGCATGTACATGGTGATAAAATTTGTGATATGATACCAGTGGATATTGTTGCCAACACTTTAATTACTTCGGCCTGGTTTGTGGCAAATAAAGCTGAAAAGGGAACCACTGTGATCAATTGTACATCAGGATCATTAAACCCGATCAATTGGGATACATTTCAAAACATTTCACATGGATTATTGATAAAGCATCCAAGCATACAACTTTTCCGATATCCTGGTGCTTCATTCCATTCTAATAGGATTGTCCATGAGTTTTTCCTTCTTCTTGAGCATTACATTCCCGCCTTCGTTGTAGACCTTTTATTCAAATTGACCGGACACAAGCCAATGTATGTTATTGTCCTAAAATTACCATTATCCTAGTCGTTCAACTATAAACACAAATCTTATTTAAATTTTACTTTTCTTTTCCATTTACAGTTTAAATCAAGTTTACCAAAAAGTGCATCGAGCCATGAATGCATTGGAATACTTTACCACAAACGAATGGACATTTAAGAATGAAAATTTCAAACAATTAATGCAATCACTGAATCAGAAGGATTTTGAAAAATTCTACGTTCAAGATAATTGTAATTTCTTTCACGAAGCACCCTTACAAGCAAACCACCTGATCATGACTACTCAGCAATTCTCCATGAGTTCATATTTTTCGCCACTGAAGCCTTCCTTTAAGCTCATGTAAAGACTTTCGTTCGAGTTGAGAGTTGATACTTTGTTAATTTTTATTTAAAACTGAGTCCATCAGTCCAATTGAGGCAATTAAAACGTTTCTCTGAAGAAAATCTCTAGGCACCAGATTCACCAAACCTATTAGTCTACTTGAAAGACAAAGTTTTACCCATACTCCTAATACAACAATAAACCCTCAAACTAAACCAAAAAAGTTTTTCATCCAAATTTAATAGCTACAAATACGGACTCTGAATTCCCCTGCCTCCATTTACTTGAATTCCTCAGTTGCATGAATTTCTTTAAAGCTCTGATTATTTTTCATAGATGTAGTCAAATCATAGCTTAAATACTGTGTAAAAATTTTCCTTCGAACCCGTCAGTTAAGCCACAAACAAAAAGAAAGAGATTTTTGATAGCGCCCTCTATTGGTTGGTTCATATAACCTGTGAGAATCTCTTCTGTAATTGTCAAAAGTTAAACCGTATGTTTCCAGAAGCGTCCTCAGTGATCGTGACTTAAAGTATAATTGATAGTTAATTTAGCCAGCAATCGATAAGATGGTTTAAATAAATTAACTTACCTTTCAGAGATCAGTAATTGGTAAACAATTTCAAGCAAAGTGGAACTGAAAGGAGACAATAACGAAATAAGATCCATTGAACACAGAGTTGAAATTTACCTTCAAAAATCGGACTCGTTTTCTGTCATGAGTTGATAACTTCTCGGATATCTAATACAAGCAAACAACAATCAAGTACAAAGTAAGTTTATTAAGCAAAGCAATATTGCAAATAAGTCTATTGCTTTTCCCTCCTTCCATCTAATCTCACCATTTGTCTTTGAATCAAAAATTAACCCAATGTTTGTTAACTCATGTCACTAATCAACTATTTTATCCCAATTTTTGCTTGATCTTAAACGCAAACGCCATCTATAGACTTTCTTGCTCAATTTTACTCAGCACCCTTTACTGTCAGTTCCGTCAAACTCGCGCAGCGAACAGAAAAACAACTTTTTACTTGTTTTTGATCGTATTTATCTAAAAATAGTGAGTCCCGCTTTGACCTCAATATCACAATTTTATAAATAAATGTTGGTTTCACGGATAAGCGTCAGAACCTGTTCCTTAATTTGAGTTACCGAGTATTTACTTTCAACTTGTATCTTTCTCACTCTGCATTTATTTCGCACTTTCTCCCTTTCTCTGACTCTCTCATATGCAATTCTCTCTCTATTTTCCTAACGTTCTCTTTCATATTCTATTTAGTTTTCGATTGTGTCTACCAATTTTACTTTTAATCGACGATTGGTTAACAAGTTGAAGTAATTTTGTATCCAATTTTATCTAGCAGTGTCTTTTGTTCAAGTTTACGTCTCAACCAATTTCTTCCACCCATTCTTTGAGAAACCATTTCTCGCTTCATCACAACCCCACTCACTTTTTTCATGTTTTTAAATCATTCTCTTCTAATTGTCATATTAAAGGATTAACCATGAGCCAAACAATCGAGGATTTTTACAACGATCAATCTGTTTTAGTGACCGGTGCCACTGGATTCCTTGGAAAAGTGTTAATTGAAAAGTTACTGAGGGAATGTCCATCCATAAGAACAATCTATGTCCTGTTGAGACCCAGAGGAGGACAGGATTCACAATCTCGTTTACGTGAGCTTCTCGATTCAGAGATTTTTGCCACCATTAGGAGTAAAAATATTTCATCACTAAACAAAGTAAAGTCAGTTTCTGGTGACATAACTTCGGACCTGAATCTAATTCGTAATCCAAGTGAGGAAAGAGAAGTGATAGAAAATGTTTCCATTGTGATACACTCAGCTGCTACCATTAGATTTGATGAACCATTAAGGTGATTGAAGTTTCAATATATTCAATGTTTCATCATAGTCTTTTTCTGATAATCGAACGGTCATCTAAATTATTCTCTTTTCTTTTATCTTAACAGACGAGCCATTAACATCAATGTAGATGGAACCAATCGTGTTTTACAGTTGTGCCATAAACTCAAAAATCTTAAGGTATGCTTGAAATCATCATCATGGTACTGATTGCTGATGGCAGGAATGAAGTGAAATGAGCAATTTTACTGTTTACCGATAACACCAATTTACATTTAAACTTTATATAAGTTATACTCTATCAATCAGCCGTGATCTACTCAGCCTGTTCACACAAAAATTTCAAATCGCTCAATCTCGAATCTACCTTTCGCCTGTTGCCAATATTACCAATCAGATAAGATTTTCACTTCTTGTCTCGTTTTAAATTTAAAAGCGTTATTTTGCAAGGCAATAGCTCAATTTGGGAATATGTTTAATCCCAGTTCACGATATCTATGAGAGATGCTTAAGTCGATGTTTGAAGGATTAAATGTTTACAAATCCAACATGTCAGGTGAAAATTCAGCTGACTATTTTCAGTTTGAGTTTTTCATTTCAAAAGCATTTGTATTTAATATGAAGACCGATCCAATTAGAGGTCTCGTGTAGTTTGGACATTAAATTTTCCATTCAAACTTAATCTTTTCGACTTTAGCCCATGAGTTTAACGTGAACTGGGAAAGAACCTAAAAAAGGAAGGGAAAGTCAATTGAAAGAAAATGATTAGCAACTGATTTTCTTAGAGATTTATTTTTACCCTTTGCTTTTACTCGTTTGAATCTCCATTCCATCGGCTTCGAATAACCAGTTTTGACTTAATTCGTCTTTCTTCTTGAAAAATGCCAATGGCTCCTACCAAGTTCATGTGGGATCATTGAAATATCTTTATTTCTTACTCTAACAATTTTTCTCTGAGCTAACTGATAATCTGGATAGCCATCACTCAACCAAATAATGATTTGATCTGATTTAAAAACCAGATTAACCTAGTCTGATCTCTCTATCAAACCGCTTAAATCAGTGTTTTCCCAATTTTCCGGATTAAAGTGCAATTGATTTTCTTTCAAATTTTACCAACTTACATTAGGCCAGTAAACATTGGGCCATTAGCAAGAAAACTGGTTTTAGTTGGACAAATTTCTTGTTCCCAATATTGCTAATTTACTTCTTATCAGTCCCATCTTTTTCCTGAATTACATCCAATTTAAATCGACTAATCTCTTTTTTTCATTTTTCATAGGCTTTGGTTCATGTATCAACAGCATACTGTAACGTTGTTAAACAAGGAATCCAAGAGAAAGTCTATTTAGAACCTGTTGCTGTTCAAAAAGTGATTGAAATTTCCAAGTAAGAATAATTTCAATAATTGTTAACAATCAATAAGAGAGACACAACAAAACAATGAAATCTTGCGTCATCGATAAACAACAATTGAACAATCACTTTCAATGCCTACATGATTCCTCTAAATCATAGCTCACAATTGGTTTCGTTTATTTAAACTCATAATTAAGGTTCTAATCCATCAATTACTCTTGATAATGTTTTTCCTTACGATACCAATTTTCCTTGTTAGCTTTTCTTCATGACATTCGTCTATTTATTTCCAATATAAACGGTCATCGATTAGAGGAAAACCTTCAACTTGGAATACTGATTTTCAGTATTTCCAAAATTTTCTGTCCACTAGTTATCTTACCATCATTCATCATGTTCAATGCTCACTCCAGCAGCTTCACCACCGTCATCATTTAAAATGTTACAAATTTTATTTAGAATAATCTTATCTTCATTATTTCATTATCAGGCCTATTATTTCCTCAATTTGTGCTACTGTCCTTCACACATGATGAAACCTCAAAATACTCAATTTAAGAAATTTTTTGTTCTTTTCCTTCTTCGTTCAGTAATCACACAAAAATATGTTTTTTTGTCAATCACTCAAACACATTTAATTAAATTAAAGTAGCACAGCAAGTAAAAAAAGAAACGTAAGAATATCTTTCAACCTTGGTTAGGAAAAACTTTTTTCATGGTTATTCATCAATATATCATGTTTTTTTTCGCTATTCCAATCATTGATGTAAAAAATTAATTTACAATGCAAATCACAATTTTTAATGGTTTGCATTGCCAATCAAATTAACCTTTACTTCTGACAATTTGCTTCTTTATGGCGATGAGTTCTGCATGATCCAATACATTATTGAGCATCTTTTTGCCTCAAAATCTGTAAGCACTAAGATCAAGCTTATCAAAAATTTTGAAAAATCATAACTTCCAAACCAATTTGGCCATTTAACAAATGCAATCCCGATTTTTTTATTCGATAGATTTCATTGGCTTTGTTTTTTCGCCTAATGTTAATTTATTTCACTAATAAGATTCAAACTGTGATTCTCTCATTATTCTGAATGTAATATTATCCTTGATTTTTTGACTAATTGCATTCTTTTTTACTTTATATTTAGATGGATGAATGATGACACATTAGAGATGATCGCCGATCAACTTTACAATGGTCGACCTAGCAGTTATCATTATACCAAGGCTTTAGCTGAGAACTTATTGTATCAAGAAGGAAACAATATGTCTATTGCCATAGTTAGACCTTCCATTATTACTGCTTCATGGAAGGATCCTACTCCTGGTTGGATTGATAATTACAATGGTCCATCAGGATTCCTTGTATCTTCTGGTAAAGGGGTACTCCGGACGATGCATGTACATGGTGATAAAATTTGTGATATGATACCAGTGGATATTGTTGCCAACACTTTAATTACTTCGGCCTGGTTTGTGGCAAATAAAGCTGAAAAGGGAACCACTGTGATCAATTGTACATCAGGATCATTAAACCCGATCAATTGGGATACATTTCAAAACATTTCACATGGATTATTGATTAAGCATCCAAGCATACAACTTTTCCGATATCCTGGTGCTTCATTCCATTCTAATAGGATTGTCCATGAATTTTTCCTTCTTCTTGAGCATTACATTCCCGCCTTCGTTGTAGACCTTTTATTCAAATTGACCGGACACAAGCCAATGTATGTTATTGTCCTAAAATTATCCATTATCCTAATTCCAGTCGTTCAACTATAAACACAAATCTTATTTAAATTTTACTTTTCTTTCCATTTACAGTTTAAATCAAGTTTACCAAAAAGTGCATCGAGCCATGAATGCATTGGAATACTTTACCACAAACGAATGGACATTTAAGAATGAAAATTTCAAACAATTAATGCAATCACTGAATCAGAAGGATTTTGAAAAATTTTCTATTGACGTTCAGTCCATTAATTGGTGTGACTATATTGAAAATTATGTTCTTGGAGTAAGGAAATACCTTCTTAAAGAGGAACCGCGAACGTTACCTAAGGCAAGAGCAAACCTCAAAAGGTAAGATAAACACAATATTATGGCCAAATATTATAAAAGTAACCACTATAATAACGCAATAAAAAGCTGGTGAGAGTTTTTTTCCCTTTTTTCCATTCTTTCTATCATTGAAAAGTAATACTAATTTTTAAGGTTGGAAGCTGCAGAGAATAGAAATTGAATTATCTGATAATAAGGTTAACCTCGAAACTTGCAGCTCCTTTCCTAACCATTAATAACAACTCGACATAAGAAAGTTCATATTAGATGTTAACAATCACGCTAATTGACAACGAATTGATGATAATCACCATAATCATGTAAAGAATTTTTTTACCTAAAGTACAAAGTTATTCTAAGGTTACAATGCTACAATGAAATGAGAAAGTAAACAGTGAAAAAAACAAACATCTCATCTTACACTTTCTAAGCTTACCTGTCCACTAAATAAACTTTCTTTTTTTTCTATTTTCTCTTCTTTCACAGGCTTTACCTGATCACTCAAATGCTCAAACTTGGATTACTGGTTACCGTGACTTATCAATCACTCAACAAAAAATCATCTCTCCATCGTAGTCTTGAGATTGTCCGCAAGTTAAGCCTCAAATGGACTCCAGGATCAGTTTGATTAATTTGAATAGAGGGAAACCATTTAAAGATGTTTACGGTTAAATGTCAAGTTATCAAACAAAAAGTGAAAACTAAATCAATGCCAATCAATTCGTTCTTTTGACGGAATCCATTCAATTTACGCCAAGCTTCATTACCATCAAATCGTCAATTGTATTTTAAAAGTCATTTATTTTATTAAATCATTTATTTCAACATTTTTACATCATCACAACACGCAAACAGTGAGAGAAGCAAAAAAAACCTTTTCTTGGTTGTTCCAATCAAAGAGTGGTTTTAATTAAAACACTGGTAAAGACAGGAGTGACGAGTCTCAATTTTCCTGCTATTTTCTTGAATCATCATGTAATTACCAGGCCATAAGCAAAGTCCTTGGAAAAGACGCACAATTAACAAGCAAATCATATAATTTCCAAGACGAACAAAAGAAAACTAAAGAATCGAATCCATATTCACCAAAATTTAGCCCGATAATTATCGCAATGCCTTCAGGGATTCAATTTTTCGCAATGTTTTACAACTATTTAGATCTAATATTTAAATTTCCCTACAATTTACGGCAATGGGAATTTTAACAGCAACCATTGTCCTTCATTCATTACCTCAACTCTAATTTTGAATTTTATTTTATTTTAACACTTTTCTTCAATCTTCCATTTCTTCATTGTTTCCTCTGTTCATCATCATTCTCATGCTTTTCCCATCTTCATCCTGAATCTTTTCTTAAATCTTTTAAAAATGTTATTCCATCTTCTGTCTTACCTCTCCTGAAAGTCAAATTAAATTGTTAAAAACCTAACAAATTAGGTTTTGATAACGTTTCAAGAATGTTTGGTATTTACCATTTCATTAATCTAAAGCTTGTCATGTTAACTCATTTAATCCATGATTTATGTTATTAAGTTATTTTGCATTGCAATCCAAATTGTTTCCTAAAGCCTTTAATCATTTATAATAACTAATTGTATTGTCATTGTTTCGCTTGTTTAATCTTGTTTCTTAATCAAGTTACAATGAAAGTTAATCCATATTGTGAGATTTGTCGGTTTGTTTATTCAACCATTTTTTGATGACAAAAAAACACCAACAATAACAACACTTGAAACAATTTATATACAAAAGATTAAAAGGCTTAATTGTAAAATAGTAATCACTTGATTAACTCACCAACCTTCAAGGTTAGATTACCTTGTAACACCATTAAATCTTTATTGAACTTTTACAAGGCAATCAAGTTAACTTTAAACAAATAAAATTAAGTCAACAATAATCTTCCAATTTATTAAACATTACATATAACATTACCTTGCAAATAACGGCAATTTAAATGATTTATTTCTGGACACAGTTTTTGTCATCTAATGTTGACTGTTTAATCGCACAGTTAATATGCATTGTTTTGGTCTTCTCTTGCTTTCTTTTCTTTTTCTTGTTCTTCAATCTCTTTCTCCTCTCTTTCTCCTCTCTTTCTTTCTCTTTCTTTCTCTTTTCACTCTCTATCTTCTCTATCTTGTCCTTATCTTTCTTCACCTTATCTCTCTTCATCTTCATTCTCTTTCATTTCTCTCTCTCTTCGGCTTCTCTCAATGGACATCGTTACGTAAATTTTTTAAACAACTGCCCCTCGCAGTTATGAGATAAAATTCACTCGGGCTCCGCCCTCGTGCTTTAAATCTCATAACTGCTTGTGGCAGTTGTTTAAATAACTCATATAACATTACCTTGCAAATAACGGCTCAGCAATTTAAATGATTTATTTCTGGACACAGTTTTTGTCATCTAATGTTGAATCAACTTGAATCGTATTTGGAATACAGAATTAGATATTTTTAGCTTCATTAGTCAACATTTGTCTTATAAAATTAACTTGAATCATTTATTTCCATAGTTGGGGTCAACAACTATTAATATAACTCTAATCTTAATCACCACCTTCATTAGCATCTTTCAACTTTGTTAATCAGTCAACGTGTGATTGATTACTTGGAACTTGCCTTTTCCAACAATTGGTGAAAGTTAAAGCTGGAATCCCTGAGTTTAGGTAAAGATTAACCTTCATAAGGACGATTAAAAATCGCAAGTTGAATCAGTTAGCTAATAATTTAAGCAAAATAGTTAATTTCCATTCAGTTTACATTTCACTTCCTAACAGACTAGATAAGCTACAATTAAACCGGTTTACTTAATTGTGTATACAAGTGAAAGTAAAGATACAATCAATTTGAGGATGGTAAAGATAGCTTTTTTTGCTGATAATTGAACAGATTAACTAAATGGTTTACTACAATTGTAATAACATTTTTTTGTTTTATTGGCAAATATTTTGAATATGTTACAATTATCGGTTAGATTATTAGATAACATTTATTACACTTCGTTATTGGTACATTTACTGCTATAATAGTTAGAAAGTTGCCACTAATCAGCGAAAGTAAACAGTAATCTGATAAACTTGAGGCAACTGGTATGCAATATTGCTTGAGAATTGCAAGTTGAACCTCAAGACATTAAACCTTCTAATTTTAATCACATTTGTCTCTTGATATCACATTGGCAAATAAACATAATTCACCAATCATAAGACATTGCACTGATTAAGTATTGATTAAGGACGTCTGCTGTAAGTTAATTTTAATAAAATTTCCTGTTGATGGTTCCATTGTAATCTTTGGTTGCATCACAAAATGAAGGTAAAGAGTCACCAAAAGCTCTGCTGGTAAAAACATGGTGAACATGATTAGATAATAGATGTAATTCAAATTATTCCGGAAGTTTTAATAACATAGATGGTTGACTGATAAGACTGGAAACTGTTACAATTGTTGTTGTAACACAATTTGGGCGAGCAGCCAATTAATTGATGGGTAACCTGAAACTGGTGAGTAAAGGCAAGTTAAAAATGAAAACTTCATTGATTCTTTTACGACTCTTTGACAATTCTAATTAAACACTCTTTTGACATTGTATGAGCTATTAACCAGGCTAGACACTAAAAATGGCACTGAACTGAATAAGATGAACAGTTGATCAGAATTTAAACACTAATCTGATCAGCAAAATCCCAATTTTAAAGCATAACAACAAAAGCTTAGTAATCGGTTAAACGGTTAAAGCCATTGTTTTTTTACCATCGCCATCTGACGTTAATAACAGTTATATTGGAGATGGTCGTAAAGATGGCGCTAAGGGCTTCTTAAAGATCTTTGTGTAATATCTGTTAACAGATTGGTGTTATCGGGATAAATTGTAATTGTTATTGTTATAATTGTGCTCTTATTTTCCATGATTATCTTAAGCCATTTCGCCAACATTCCCATCTTCATCACCTCACCAACAGTTGAACATAACTCACCAAATTGGTTATGTGTGGTTCAATTGGTGTGAATAAGAAAGGAACCTCAAATACAAGCCATTTCTTATTTTTAGGCTCTTCTCCAAAAATGGTCCAACATTGGCCTTGACGAGTCTTCGTGTTCCTCCTACAAATCTTATTACGACAACCATTTCTCCAAGCTTTGAACACCAAGAGAATGATGAGTTGAGGAAGAAGATGAACGAAAAGAAGAAGAAAAAAGAAGAAGGAGAATAAAATAAATTCATTTGCAAGCAACATTTTGAACCTCAAAAAGCCTCCAATTCAATTAACATGGAAATTTTTCCTTCGCCATCCTTCCTCTCTTTCTCTCTCTACTTTTAAATTGTAATTTTTCAAGTTAAATTGCAATTGATATTAACACTTAAAAGTCCCAAAATATCTATCAACCGTATTACTTGTAAATGGGACCCCTTGAATGATTAGTTAATCAAAGATAGAGATACTTAAAGTCTCTTGTCAAGTTGCCTGTGACAATTGAAAGATGATATTTCCATTTTGCAAATGTTGTTCACGATAGTTATCATTACCATTTATAAATTATAAATCATAATTAGGCAAATATCGTCTAATTATTAAATAATAACCAATAGCAATTACAATGGAGGTTACAACCATAATCTCAATGTTAAATCACAAATCATATGGACCACTTGCATTTCCAAAAATAATACCAATAAGAGGTTTGGTGAATTTATTTTTCCCATTGAATGTCAACCATAATCAATCTTTCCATCGTCATTTAAGATCAATTTTAGCGCTAGAAGAAAAAAAAGAAGCGTTCATCATTTCTTTGTGTCTAATTATAAAAAGATAATTAGTGTTGCTAATTTTAATTGCCATTGAAAAGCGACTATTTCGTCCAATTCAATGATCAATTGAAAAAAGTAAAAAAAGTTAACCAACATTCAATACAATGTCAAAGTCAAATGGAAAGTTAACCAAAGCTTGTAACCTTTCCGATCTGATAAACTCGCTAAGGTCAAGTTTACTCTTTATTATCGCAATCACATTGATTAATTGCCGTTAATTATGTTTCTTTAAAGTATCCGAAGCTTGATTGTCTTTCAATTTCACTTTTAAGCGCCTTTTTTCATCAATTTACGCGTTTAAATTGTTTCACTGTATTGGCTTTTTTAATCCATTAAATTTGATTGTTTCCAATTGATTCCAAAACAAGGTCAAGGGTAGCAAATGTGTTAATTATAAACATTTGATCTAATTAGTCTAAAGATTGATCTATTTGTTAACCTCAAAGGTCTGAACGACTTTCAAATGATTAAAATAGTGTCTGATTGAAGACAATTGATTCTAATGGAAACAAAGTGATTAACAGACAAACTGAAGGTAAACCCAAAGCATAAATTGTCCATTCAAATGTTTCCAAGTTGACTAACAATGTTTCAATTGATAATCAATGAGACATTTGTTAATCAGTAAAAGTGGGACCAGAAAAGGCAATTGATGTTAATATGAAGTTGATGAAAATGTGATGAAAATGAATGAAGAGAGAATGAAGAAAATGAAAGGAAAAAAGAGGAAAAGATGAGAGTAATGATGATGAGAAAGACTGAAGGTAAACATAGTTAGAGTGATACATTTACTCCCAGTGCGAGGTCAAAAGATGGACAGCGATAAGGCAAGTAAAAAGGCATCTGAAAAATGGGTCAATGATATCTTTAAAGAAATCAGGGGAAGAAAAGATGAGAAAAATGATAGAAGAAAGATTCTGAAAAAAGAGATGAAAATCTTCGCGGATTATGTTTGGCAAAATAAAAATGGATTCCTGAAGATGAGAGCGTAAAAGAGCCGGAATGTTGGTAGAGGAACCAAATTGAACCATTTCATTGCTCTCTTTGTAAGCATCCTCAATGCATTCATCATTGGACCTTTAAGATGAAGCAACAAAAGTCTTTGCATTCATCGATCTTCACATTTTCATCTTCATCCTCATCTTAATCTTCATCATCAAGTCGAACTAGCAACTTTTTTCATTCTCTTCTGGATCGATATCGATGTTTTTTCCTTTTCTTGTAAACATTTTTTCCATCTTTTCATTGGCAATATTTTTCATATAATCTTTCATATCAATAAAGCAATTTTTGGTTAACTTTTAATTGCAATTAATTGATTTCACTTTCATCAATTGTTATTCAAAATGTTTAAATGTGCATCAAAGTGTGCCTTTAATTGTCCCGGTTACTTTAACTAATGGTAATATTGATTGCTTTAATATGTTTTTGTTGAATAAGCTTGTGTTTTGATTAAATATTGGTAAACAATGCGATTAGCGATATTTAATCAAATGAGATTGTTTGATTAATGATTAAATAAACTGTCCTTCAAGGCCTACTTAAAACACTTAATTGATTGGAAAGATTAACTAGTAAAATGTAATTAAGTAAATAAACCTTTGATTATAAGCGTAACAATCAAGATTTGGTGATTTCGTTATTATTGTTTCAACGCAATTCATCAAAGATGATTGACTTTTGAAAAATATTGAAAATCGTAATTGTTAGTCAAAAAGGTAAATAAATAATTAATTGTATAGTACTAATCAATTATAAATAATTGATCTTCTCTGTTGTGTCTCTGTAATGACAGGTGGAACAATTAATAAACTAAATTGTTTCTGGTTAATGGTAAATCAAAAAAGTAAACTTTCATAATTGCTTGAATAATAGTGTGATGACAATTGTAATCTTTAGTTTTTGTTAACCGCTAACCCTAATTAAATAATAACCTTAAAATAATGTTAATTGGTAAGGTTAAATTGTTAATATAATTTGATTTGGCTTACGGCTAGAAGGAAGTTTTAAATTACCTTGGAAAAGAGGTTAATAAAGCTTCCTGGTTCAAGGCTCTAAATCTGGTAACAACCAAATGTTTAACCAGAAAAACAAATGAATACAAAAATAGATTAACCAGTTTCTTTCAATTCCAATTGATTTTAATTCTCGCATTGATTGGTGATTATCTGAGGGCAAAAATTAGAAAAGATAATTAATAATTATCAATGAATTTCAATTTATTTTAATGACATGAATTGCCATAAAGCTGTCAAGCAATTTAAGCTAATACAGATTATTGAATAATTGTCTTCTGATTGTATGATTATTATTACCCAACAATTATTCCAATCATCTCCAAGGTTTGTTTCAATTTTCCCGTTTCATGATAATTCTGAAATGAAAAAATGTAGAGAGAAATTAAAATTAGTTTTCAACTAGATTTTGTAGCTAATTTCAAAATTAATTTCAGGTTGAATCAAATTACACTCAACACTTGAGTTTACTGTTTTTGCTTATGAATATTTCGTTAATCACAAGCATCAAAGCTTGATTACCTTGATTATTACGTGACTTTGATCACAGGAAAGAGTAAAACGAGTTTGATTAGAATCCATTCGTAAGCTTTGCCAGAAATCATAACCATAATCACTTGTCTAGTTTGCAATCAAAGCTAATTTTTCCCAATTTGACGCTGAAAAGGAAGAAGAAAAAGAGTAAAAAATTAAAAATATTTACAAATTGATCGTAATTGCTTTTGGTGTCATTAATGAATCAAATTTTGACATAATTCCAATGAAACTTGGAATGCAATTTATGCAGATACAACAACCTCAAAGTAAAGGATTAATCATGACTACAGTTGCTTTTGAAAACATTAAAAATATGCAAAAGTTGAACTTACGTTAAGCAATTTTCAAAATTGATACAATAATTGAACCTTCGAGCAACGTTTTTAAAGCGCTTATAGTGTCATCTAACGTGTGCTTATTTTATTAACTGCATGTCAATTAGCACGTCCAAGTGAATGATCAAAGTGAAATGCTGTCAGAAGGTAACAACAAGAAAACAGGTTGGAATTTTCAGGGCTTTCCATTTTCCATGCTGTCATAACTTGTATCCCAAAGATATGCCAATGTATATCTCATGTCTTTCCTATCTCTTTCTTGATTCAATCTTTATCGATCTTGATTTGTGTCGATAACAGGAATGGTTTTTCACCAATTTTTGACGATGTTTTCCCAGTGAAAACTAATGGACTTTCCTTCATCTTCCTGTGTAAAAACAGGACTAAAAAGCATGCAAAATGCATAGAAAATGAATTTCTGTCAATTGCAATTAATAAATTTATCGCTGCCATTTCCTATGCATAATTATTCTACCTTTAAAGGTTAAGTTTGCTATCCACTTGTAATGTGAATGAATTAGATGATGATTGTTATTATCTGCTGGAGAACGTTGTATTGGCAAAGAGAAGTATCTCAAGGGAATCATTATCTTCTTTTTTTTCTTGAGAGGCTAATTGTAGACTCAAGATTATGTTTAATGTTTATATCCAATCATCATTTCCCCATCCTGATCATTGGTATGTCGTTATTGTTGCTCATCATCGTCATCATCAGCATCAGCATCAGCTTCTGGTGCTACCTTCGTTCACTGCTTTCTGCTGATTCAAGTGAACATATGAAGAGAGATGAAAATGAAATTAACATCTTCCAATGTTGGTGTTACTTGTCAATCAAATGTTAACCTCTAATTGGCCTCTAACAGCGTAAAGAGAGAGAGAGAAAGAGAGAAAGTTAGATCAAGATGAGCCTGAAAAAAAAGAAAGCAGAAAAAGAAGATTAAAAAAATGTAAAAATATTGAATAGAAAAAGGTTTTTTTGCCAATTTTGAGGCGGGAAAATTAAAATGGAAAAATTATGCCTTTAAAAGTAATGTATGCAATTGTATGAAAAAATGGAGGCAAGGAGAAAGCAAAGAGATAAAAAATGAAGATGAGGAAGATAAGAGAGTTATAAACAAGGTCAGAGAAGACCCTCTCTTCTCGTCATGGGAGATTCACTTGGTTAGACTAAGACCATGATATAGACTCACATAACAGGGTAAAAAAAGAGGCAAAGGAGAAGGTTAAGCTTATTCAATGGTCTTTGTCTTTTCCTAAAAGGCAGATGGACCAAGTATCTATTTACCGATGTTTGACCTGGGGACATTATAAGGTCAAGTTTTGATGTAAAATGATGCGGATAAAGTCGACGACAACTTGAAATGAAAAGATGAAGAGAAAGTGGCCTCATCCAACAGTTTGCTCGGCAGAAATTGATTTTCCTCCTTCTTCTTTTTTTGGGATTCACCATGTTTTTAACGGATCACCTTTTCTCTCCCTTTCATCCTTGATGGACCAAAGTTGACCGTTATTTGATCTCCATTTGTTAATCATTTTGTATACACATAAACACATTATTATTGCCCTTCCGCCGTTTGTATGTTATTTTCCAGTTTGACTCCAATTTTTTCCAATGGCGATTGTAAATTCAAGTCCGTTTACCCTTCCTGTTGTGTCCCTTAGTCAAAAACAAAAGGTCAATTTGGACTTCCATTGTACAGTCTGGTAACCTAACAGATCAATATGTTTAAAAGGGAGAAAAGAGAAATACGGAAATAGGTAAATTGAATATTATTGTTGGCATTAAAAGCTGGGATAAAACATATTTGGTAGCCTTTTGTTGTTAACTAAATAGAATGAACACGCGGTCAACATTAATAACTGTTGTATTGTCATTATTGTTATTACATTATTAAGATTAATAATAACAAAATATCAGCATAGACAAAACTGGTTCAAAATAGCAATCGCTAATTTTGTTTTATTTTGTTCCTTCCTCATTTCATTTCTCTTTTGGTGTCGTCAGAAGATAAATATTATTTTTCACTCGCTTCTTTCTCATCTCTTTCTTTTGCCTTTCTTCTCATCTTACAGTCACCTCACATAGACACTATTCAATCAAGCGAACCTCCTTTTATCAAACCTCTTATACAACGGTCAAGGCTTATTTTAACCATAAAACCCAATTATAACCACTAATCCATCAGGTAAAAAAAGCCAAAAATTACCTTTCCACCGGTTACTCTTCAACTTAAGCTTTTCTTTTCATCGTTCTTTCAATTTCCTAACCGACCTTTCTTAAAGATGAATGCAACACATGAAATACAAAAGTAAGAACAATTAATCACCTTGGAATACAATAAAATTGAACAAGACATAAACATAGGGAATAAAGAAAATGAAGAAAAGATAAAAATAAAATGATAAAATCAATAATTATTGAACAATAAAAAAATTAATCAAAATCCCAATTCAAAATTACGGATAATTTCACCGCAAGAGGACACCAGTGAAGCTAAAAATGAGAAAAACTGTTCATTGATCAACGCCATCTATTGAAGCAATTGCTTTTTCTTGAGTAAAAAACTAAAGAAAAATTAAAATAAATTTTCAATCAGGTTTGATGAGAAAAGGCAACTTCAATAAAAATCAATAATAAACAAAATAAATCACCAAAGGGGCTTGAGAGGGAGGAGATAAAGTGCCTGAAACTGTTCTAATTGAAAATTATGATGAGAAAAAAGAAGAAAGTTGCTCTTAAGGAATCGCTAAAAATGTAAATAACAGAGTTGATAGTTTTGATTAAGAGTTAAAACAAATGAATTATAAGTGTAATTATTGGTTGAAACTGGTGAAACATTTATCTGGTTGAATTTTCAAGGAGAAATAAGCAAAAAGAAGATGATGATTCACATTGTAATAATTCATTTTGCTTTCACATTTATCATCATCTTCAATATTGACTTAAGATAGTTAACTTTATCCACCTTTTTGATTCCCATTTTTACCGGTCTTTAATATAATCATAAAGGTGCTCAAGTCCACTTCATTGATTGAATCATCATCATCATATTTCATCCTCTTCATCCTTAATCTTGCCTTTTGGCCTCTCTAACTCTCATCGTAATGTGATATTAAGTGTATGGTTTTCAAGTTAAAAAATGCGTCCAAAGTGTAAGCAAAAAAACAAAATGAATTACAATGAACATTAAAAAAGCTCGTCTAAACATTACACATTTACAGAGGAAAGAAAATGATCCTAAAAAAAGGAATGAAAAGAGAGTGAAGAGGGATTCATCCATTTTCTCACCCACTTTTCATCATTTCCATCTTCACCCATTTCTCAAAATGAACCCCAAAAACGACACTTGAAGTTTGAATAGAGCGGAAAAACTTGAACCATCTCAATGGCAAAACATGGCGAGATTGACATTTATTATCAAAATGATGAGAAGTGTGGAAATAATTTACGTGGAAAAGGCCTCATGGTAAGCAACATTCAATGGGGCAAAGTGACTCGTCTAGGTTGATCATTTGATGTCCCTCGGCCTTGCAACATTTACTTTACTGAGAAAACAAAAAATGAAATTTTTCTTGAGCAAAGCCTTCGATGTGCTTACACTTGATGCAGTGAAAGTGACTTATTTAGGTTGAAATTTTCGTGTCTTTCGGCTTCTCAAAGTCACTTAGGTGATGGGAAAATGGTTACAGCTATGATGATGATGATGATGAATGAACAAAAAACATTATGAATAAAAGTAATTGAATCCAAGGTTAGATGATATTTTTATGGCAAAAACAGTAAAGTTGATGAGATGATGATTATAATGATAAGTTTGTTGATAGAGGATGACTTTGTCTGTCTTCGTCTTCACAGTTGTTCACTTCCGTTTATCATCATCATCATCACTTTGTTAACCAATTCATCAAAATGTAACCAAAAAAAATATTTCACCAAACATTCATTTACCATTAAATACCAGTCCTTATTGGAAGGAAGAAGAAAACAAAAAAAAATTTCAAAAACAATAACTTTTCTCACCACTTCTCCCTGCGGCCTTTTTTTTAATCAAAACCATTTTTCATCAATAATATTGTTACTTTCATCATCATCCTCATTTTTCAGGTTCATTGGATTGATTGGCAGTTAACTCAATGTTAGTGAAATGTTCAATCTTCATCACTTTTTTTTCTTCTTCCTCATCTTTTTCACTCTTTTTTTTATCCACTCTTTTTACCTTGACCAACACATTCATTTAACGTTAATAGTTTTGTTTTTAATTATTTTGATGATTGTAATGATCATCATTGAATTATTAAATGATATTTATTATCAACTTGTTTTTCTGTCAATCCAAAGATACCAAATGTTGATAATTGAGAGGCTTAATTACTCATGATTTGTTCAGATAAAAACTGAGAAGTGAAAATGTAATTGCTCTCATAACTTTTCATGTTGTCAATCAACATTGATGATAATCATGATCTTCATGAGGGTTATGATGGAAACAAATTGTGAAAGTTTAATAAAAAGAGGTTCCAAAGTTGTCCATCTACAGTTGCTCTGAGAATGTTCATTTTGGAAATTCAATTTTTCCAAAATTAGATGAATACATGAACCAAAGGCTCTTATTTGCATAAATGGCTTTTACAATTAATTTTAATTTGTAATAGAAAATTTTTCTTGAGAAAAAAAAATGTTCGCAAATAAAGCCTGACTTTTGCACGTCAAGTTTGACCTTTTAGGCCCAAAAGGTTCATGAGAAATTCATGACAATTTAATGTTAAACTGATTCATAATGGTGGTTAAATTACACTAAATTTAGGATTTTTAGAGTTAGCCTAGAAGTGTTAGTCACTAGCAATTAGCTTGAATGTAGTGTAATTAGTTAATCAAGTTGTAATTGATAAGACAAAAAGTTATATCAGGTGAAATCATTTTCTGGGTTAAATGAAGAACCAGAAAAAAAAGTTGGGTTTTTGCTCTCTGTTTAGCTTTTTTATTTTCTTGCAGCAAAATGATTACTGATAAAGTCTGATTGGCATTTGTGCATGGTAAAGATTAACATGATTAACAGAAATAATTTTTTTCACTTGGAATCAATTTACTTGGATAAGACATTTGAATTGTTAAATTGCTTGTAATGTCACTTAATATTTGACTAACTGTTGTAAAGTTGTCATTTGAAAGTGGCAAAAAACAGTGCAACTTAGCTTGATATACACTTTGTATTTAACTACTCATGTTTATCACTATTTGGGTCACCATTTATAAATTGACATTAACAATGTCAGTTGATACAAGAATGATAATCATCATGATCAGACGCATCACCAGGAACAGCAGCGTTGTCACAGTCGTTGTCACCATTTAGAGGAGCAAAATTTGCTTGTTGATTTTTTGCTTTCAATTTTTACTATTTTGTGCTGTTTAATCACAATTTAATGTTGATTAGTTGTTCATCTTTTTTTTACGTGTGTTCCTTCAGCTACAATAAACATCAACACGCGAGCAACAGTTTTATTTGTAAACTTGGACACATCATTTTCACCTAGATTTGCGAAAAGTTTGTACAAAATGATTTTTCACAGAATCATTTGCTTGGCTAGATTAAGTTATTAGAAATGTAAAATGCAAGATGAGGTTGATTATGATGGAGATGATTATAGTTGGTGTTGATGATGAAGGAAAAGGCAATAAACTAATGTTTATTTACCCTCAATCTGAGTGAAAAGCCTTCAAAAACAAATCACAACAATTTGCTTATTGATAAACACGTAAAAAACATGAGCCGAAAAAGTTTCATTCTTGATTCAGTAATAAAATTGGCTTGGCTTGATCTGTGAAAATGGTTTCATCAAAAAAGAGAGAGAGAGAAAAAATATGATTATTAATGAGATTGTTATCAATGATAAAGAAAATTTTGGCTTCAAAAAGGCGAAATTAGAGGCAAACAAATGTTTCAGACACTTTAATTACCATGTAATGAAAAAGTATCTCAACTATTTCTGAGTCAGATAATGTTTCCTCTATGGTTTCCTATTTGAAACTTCAATTCTCAATAAATTACTTGTATGTTAATAATGATCCATTGGAAATTGTAATTTAACTCGCCAAAATAAACAAACAGGGAGTACATTTTTGGGAGTGAAATTCAATGCTGAGTTATCATAAATTAGGCATTCAGAAATGTTTCTCATCACACGATTGTAATCACTGTGAAGATGTTCCGATTAGCTAATGATTGCTGATTGAATTATGATGATGTTGATGATGATTAAATATGGTTTGGCATCGTTTTGTGTTTGTTGCTGATTCCACTGAAAGACAAAAAAAACAAGAACAAGATTATTTTACTCCTTTGAGGTTAATCAAAAAAAATGTTCAGACGATGATGATGATCATGAATATTTATGCTGTAGTTATAAAAAGGGATGATGCTTTTATCAGACTATTGACTTTGTCTCCACTTCCATCATCATCACTTTTATCATCATGTTACGCATATTGAATGGGAAGCAAGAGAAAAAACTTGGCTTCAATGAGAAAGTCTTGTGTTTATTTTTATCAGGTTTGTAAATCCTTTTTGTTGAAAAGCTTGTGAAAGCTTGAAAGTGGCAATTTGATTCAAGAGACAAACAAAAATGCAAATGATTTAAATAGTGATGGGGTCGAACTAGCATTCGTTTCAATTAAAAAGATATTAATTCTTTGGCAAAGTTGAACAGTTTAATAATAATTGTACTTTGCTTACCCAAAATACGCAGTAAATACTTACTATCAATTGAGATGAACAGAGGGCTATGCTCTCCATCACTTTGTATTTTCAAATATCCATCCAAATTTTCCAACAAAACATTAAAATTAAGGTGATTCTGTTTTTCTTTCTGGTCTCAAATTAAATTTATAATGAAAAATCAGCCGATGACACGACACTCATGATTATCTCCATTTCCTTCAACCCACCTTGTTACCAAAACAGATTTAAGATTGGGATAACAGCATAAATTTATCAGCATTAATCTCATATTTCTACCATTTTTCAACTCTCCAACGGACCTAAACCAAGTATTAATATTATAAATTGATCTTGGACTCGAAAATCTCTTTGCTTAGGGCCAAAAGTCTGTTGATAAATGACTCCAAGTGCACCATTTGTTACCGAATCAGACCTTATAGGATCAATTGAGATTCAACAGGTCCCAATCGAAATCATAACCAACTCTTGAATCCACCAAGATTCATGTGTTGAACTGTCCTTACATCACTCTAAATCGATTGATATTAATAGAAAACAAGAAATCAATTAAAAAAAGGTTACAGACAATGAATTGTTCAACTTACATCACTTTTGGTAACTCGCCATGCTTTGTAGGATTGGGTTAACCTAAAACAAAGGCAGATGAACAAAATTAATTTAAGAGATGAGTGTAAATTAACACAGCCAATTAACACGAATCACATTAAAGACACTTAATTAGAATCATATTAATTATAAACAATGTTAATTAAAACCAATCAAGATGTTACCAGAATGGACATTGTCTTGAACAATCACATGTAAAGGGGAAAGATTAAAATGAGAGGGAAAGGGGAAAGATTAAAATGAGAGGGAAAAATCGGGTTAAATCAGAAAGAAGCGCGTTTTATGAAATGGTCAGTATGAGGCAAGTTTATTCAAATACTGTTCCCATGCTGTTCAACAGATAATTTCCGTTCTTTTTATGATTTCCATTATTTCCCTAAATATCAATTTAAATTGATATAATGATAACAACTAAAACCTACTTTACCCCAAAAAAAAGAAGAAGAAAATAATTGAATATATTTATCCCTTTTTTTACCCATTCAAGTTCACTATGTTATTACTCCGGAATTTAATATTCAATTACCAATTATCAATTTACTTGCTCATGATTATCATGTTATCAATCAAATTCAACCTTCACTGGTGCACATTTTAATCATTATTGAGAGGTTCAATGGTAATAACAATACAACAACCTTTGATCAACCTTATTAACTAAATCAACAGACGAGTAAACACACACAAAAAAGGGAAACATTTTGTCCACATTAGGTTTGAGTTAATATTTACAGAGTAACTGTCCAATGCCTGTTGATCCTTTTTTGCGTATTACAATCAAGTTCAAGGTTTAATAACAATTAATAATACAATTTTAATATACAAATACAATATTGATATGTATTTACATTGGATTAAGTTGGTGAAAATTGAAGACAAAAAGGTTTTTTCATGAAACCTCTCAATGAGCCGATAATCAGTCTCATTAATCATTACAATTTTACAGTCTCCTGTCAAATTGTGATCATTATTACAATTAATCAGCCATTAAAGGTCATTAATCTGACACCAATGAAATAAATAGCCAATGTAACAATAAGTGGTAAAACCAAAGAAACAAAGCGCAAGTTGAAGCCATTTGAATGTGAAAAATGCTGTAACCAGAAAAGCTGACTATCAAATAACCTTTAGGGTTTACCATTTCCAATGAATTACTATTAAAAAAGGATGATAATTATATTACAATTAAAATGAATAATGTAATTAGCTTGGCGTCCTTTTAATCTAATTAAACAGCAACCACACCTAAGACAAAACAAGTAAATTAATTGTTGATTGTGACTTAAAATAATAATGAATCTAATATATCAAAGATGATCTTTGATCAATAAAACATTAGCCTTTGAGGTATTGATACTGACGATAAAAGCAAGAAAAGTTATCTTTTAAATCGATTCATCTTTTGACTGATTGTGCACAATTAGTGTCCACATTAAGTACCATGAGAATTTGATTAGATTCAAGTTCAACGAATCAAAGTGTTTCAATTGTAATCAATCAGATTAAGAGGTTGTCAGGATTGACACTCAACATTTTTACCTGATTTTTTTGTTCTCAATGTTTTTAAATAATGGAAAATGGAGGAAAATTTTCTCCAAAAATTAGAGGAAAAATGAGAATCAAGATGAAGAGATATTTTTGGCATCAAATGCTGAGCTTTTCCTGGTTATACCAAGAGTTGTCATTTATGTTTGGGTTTTGTGAACACAAAAGGTTTACAATGAGATGAAAGTTAATTGTAGTTGGAGAGTCGAGTTGAAGATGAAAACAAAAACTGAAACTGAATAATGATGATGAGGCAGGAGAAGGAAATTAACTTAAAAATGAAGATGAATATGAGTTACTTCTCATGGGATCTTTGTCAACCATATAACTCATGATTTCAAGTGAATTATCCGTTTGTTTGCCTTTTAAAATGAGACAATTTTCATGATTAAATCTGAGCGAAAGCAAAGGCAAAATATTAAATGTCTGTAACCATGAATTTCATTGAATAATTGAACAAAAAGAGAATGGAAATTGAACAAAGAAAATATCTCTTTTTTTGCCTTCTCTTTTGTCCAGTCTATTTTGACTTTACATTGTAAACACTGTTCATTACTATTAATCAACTTACGGATAATCTTCATGATTACCTGCCATTTGTATTGCATGTTTCAATGCATGCAACTTGTTAAAGTATCTCATTTGATTCATGTTTAACCACCATTTTGGACAGTATTATTAGCTTGGGTTTTAGCGTAATTAACTTAATTTGATAAACTTTATTTTGCTCTTTAACCTCAACTGATAATACTTTAAATGGTTGAATTTGCTTGTGATTTGTTTGAGTTGTGATTGATTAGCTTAAAAATGTCTGTTGATTTACAATTTTAAAGTCAATTCAACAGTTAACATTGACATTTACAAACTCACTCAATGTTCATACAATGTAATTAAATGCCCAACCTGCAAAATATTTTACTTTATCATGTAATTTCAATGAGTGGAATTGAGTTGTCATAATTTTAGTTTGAAAAAGTCAACCATTAAAGTAATAAAAAAAATGCTTATCAAGTGAGAATAAATTGATGAGAAGAAAAAAGAAGAAGAGAAATATTGATTGAAATGAAATCGCATTTCAAAATGATTTGATCAAATAACCTAAGTGAAACAATTAGCTAAATATCAATTACAAAATGAAATTGGAAAAGTTGATTAACCATTTAGATTGATGTGTTTGAAAGGAAATTGTGATTTGAAAAATGAGAAAAAACAACAATTATCAAAGCTTGTTTACGAAGTTTAATTGTTGCAGTCATTATCAATTGATAAGAAAACTGTTTCTCAATTAAAAGTAATTTGAAATGATAAAATAAGGTAAACATCATTAAAAGGGGTAAATAAGTTTTAAAGATAAACATTGATTAAAGAAAAGAATTTAATTGTTGCAATTCAATCACTGAAACTAATGAATATCATCATACTAATCGTCATAATGATCATAATGATCATTGTATTCATTTTCAATGTTACCCAAAAGACATTAGACTTCAACCCAAGAGATGCACTTTGTCCCATCAAATGTAACAAACAGTGAGACCTTTTTTTACGGGGAATCCTTTCATTTTCATCTTCATTTTTGCTCTCATTTTGCTCTCTATTTTCATCCTCCTTGTCGTCCTCCTCATCCTCATCTTCATAACCGTCTTCATCATAATCAACATCATCGTCATAATAATCATAATGATCATTTTCAATGTTACACAAAAAACATTAGACTCCAACCTAAGAGGCTTACCTTGTCCCATCAGATTCAACACACTGTGAGACCTTTTTTCACGTTGAATCCTTTCATTGAAATCTTCATTTTTGTTATCATTTTCATTTTTATTTTCATCCTCATTTTCATCTCTAATTTCATTATTCTCATCCTCCTCATCATCATCTCCATTACCATCTTCGTCATCATCAACCTCATCGTCATAATGATCATTGTGTGATGATTTTCAATGTTAGCCAAAAGACATTAGCCATTCAAGCTAAGCGACTCACTTTGTCCCATCAAATGTAACAAACAGTGAGACCTTTTTTCACGTTGAATACTTTTCTTCATTTTTATTTTCATGTTTATTTTCATCTTCATTTTCATCTCTAATTTCATCATCATCATTCTTAGTCTTCTCTTTCACCTCCGTGGGAGTAAAATGATCATTCTCATTCTCCTCATTCTCTTCACCATCATCTTCAAAGATCATCCCAATGCTATTAATGAAATCAAATTGTTCCTAGTCTCTGTCCTGATCATCATTATTATCTTCTTAATAATTACTCCAAGTAATTCAACTCTTATCTTCCTCACCTCTCTATTCTCTTCCTTTTCTTCTTGCGCCTCTATCTTCATCAATGTCGCGTTCTTTACGCATCAAAAAATACGCTAAAACTATCGCCATAACCCACCCAAAATTTAGCTTAAAAGAGAGTAAAAATATTGCCCGTGAAAAGTTCAATCTCCTTCTTCTTCTTCTTCTTCTTCAGCTCTCTTCTCTTCCTTTTCTGCATCTTATTCCATGTTTTTTGCTCTTCTCAATGAAATAACTCATCTTGCACTCTCTTACTCCAAAGATGATGATGATGATGAGGAAAAGGCATAAAACCTTGAAACAACGCCAAGAAAATCTGCTTAAGGGTGATTGGGTTGGTTTGTGCTCTTTTCTTATACTTTTTTTATGATTTCTTAAGCATTAAATAATGATTTTTTGGGGTAAAAAAACCAATGGCCAAGTGGTTTGAACGCTGTTAAATAAGCTGAAATTATAAGAATGATGATTATTATTATGATTATCTTACAGTTTGGGCGTTAAAAGTAAAGCTTTAAAGCAAAAATAACAAAGAGAGATGACAAGTTATCAGAGACATAACAAGTTCACTGATGCAGTCCATTTAAAGGTTACCCAAACCAAAGGAGGTAAAGTTAATCATATTCAACCATTAGAAGTGATTATAACCTTCTTGGCGTTGATTTACTAATTAACTTTTTTACTCTTTTTTCCAGTTAAAAAAGGCATCTTATAAATTATCATCACATTCAACCTCTCATCATGATCAACAATCCTAATCTGAATGGATTAAAGGAACCAAACGGTAATTTGAAAGTTGAGAACAACAAGAAGAAGAAGTGAAAAAAGGTTAAAACTGTGTTGATGGATTTTGTTTTATTACCTTTTCGCCAACAAAACGAAGCATAAACATTATTACTAACTATTTGTATATTGGAACGATATTTTGATTTTCTAGTATTTTTATATTCTGTTTACTTTCACATGATTAATGGATTTGTATTATTGCAGGCAAAATAGAAATGAAGTTTGCAGAAGAAGAAGAAGAAGAAAAGTCAAGAATTGTTTGCAAGAAAATGAATTTCTTTGCAAAAGTCAAACATCTTTTTACCTTTTGAACAACGGCAACTTTGGTCTATTGAAAAGTTGATTTAAAGTTGAAATTCTCAAGCTGTGATTATCTAATTAGACTCTTGTTGTTGTTTGGTGTAAATGAAGATGTAATTTCATGTTCAAACAATCAGTTGACCCAAAGTTTACCTTTGCGTGATTGTAACACTTTTTTTCGTTCCTTTTTTCACTTCTTTTACCTTTTTCCTCTTTACCTTGTTTACCTTTACCAAATAACTTGGACTGTAAGGTTAACGAG